CGATTCAGAAGAAATTTTCTGTAATTGGGGTTCCGGTTTAACGAAAATGTTTTGATAATTTAAATTCTCTTAGTTCTTATCACTCTTATAAATATTAATCGCGACAAAAAATAATTTTATCGAATTGGAGGAGAGGGTAACGGATGTAAAACAAAAATATTTTTATCAAGATTTTCTAAAGACAAACATTTTTTTAAAAAATACCATTCATTTCTGAATAAGTTCTGAAAGGCTCATTAAAATCAGACAATTATCTGTTTTTTTACAAAAATTTCAAACTCAATATGTTTTTCACTGCAAAAAAATAATTCTCAAATTTCCTGTAATAATTTATGGTCCAACGTTGAGGACCAGAAACACAAGATTTTTAACCAAAATTTTATGATAAAACTTTGTTTTTAGGGGTTTTGGGTTTTTTTTTTTTACAGTAAGGTTCACCCTTTACAAATCTCTCGAGGCCACTCGAGTTAGAGGGTTACATTAAAAAGCAATTTGTACGGATAGGAGGGAATGATAACGATAAACCCTAGACTTGAACATGTTAAGATTGTAGTGATCGGAGAAATATACCCTCGGGAGACGGTTCCACAGAATGGTGTTTCGCGGGAAGAAGCTGTTCGTGTAGAACATACTTCTCACCGATGGAATACGGAGGGAATGTGGGTGATTTGCTACTATGTAAGTGGCTTGTGAGAGAGAAGTTGGGGAGCGGAGAATAATTCGCTGCCTACAAGGGCGCTGAGACGCTTTTGGTCTCTATTAAGTCTAGAGAATTTCTGGTCTGATCTGGATCTTGTAAAGGTAGAGGATGTCTTGAGGATTCAGGTAATTTTTGGAACATTTGTATATTTATCTTGGTATTATAATAATAGGTTTATATATAAAAGAAAAGATGGGAACCGACCATCTTACCTGCATCTTTAGTCTTTCAAAGCAAAGACGGATTCTCCCCGAGTGGGGGGAGGTATCTGTCCATCGTGACTGGCGTTGGGGGGTCTGATCGGCGATGTTGGAATGTAACTTTTGCGCATCTTTCATCGTAATCATAAAATCATCTATTTTTAAACATGGTTGGAACTGTGTATATATATTTTAAATATATATATATATATATATATATATATATATATATATATATATATAGAGAGAGAGAGAGAGAGAGAGAGAGGGAGATAGAGTGGGAGAAAGAGAAAGAGAGGAAGAGGGAGTGAGAGAATATCCTATGAATAATGTCTGATAGAGAAAGATTGTTATTCTAAAAAACTATATCCACGCATGTTAATGCGCGTGCATACGATGAAGTTACGTTGTTACATTTCGATTCAATTAAGTTCTTAACTTGACTTTCTTAAATATGGACGCGTCTACGAATCTCATAAGACATTAAAAAGTTATGCTGTTGCAGAAGTAACTCGAAATATATATGGTGTTCATAGGATAAATTCTTGAAATCAAAGAAATTGCTATAAATTGTTTGAAAGATTTAGATTACACCGCCATCCGCAACAACTTGGAAATGTGAGTAACCTTTCAAAATAGATCGCCCAGCATTTGACTAAAGATAAACTTGAAATAAATGTGAACATCTGTATTCTCTGAACTCTCGTAAAGTCACGTTGGCATTTCTTAATAGCTTAGCGACCAGTGATAAAAAATAGATTTAGTTAAAACTTAATTCAAGCTATTCAACGTCACCTGCATCAACTTTAAAAAGTGATTAAAAGGACCGTGACTTAGTAGATGTGAAGAGGACAAGGAAAGATTTGGTATTTGTTTCGTGGGTGTTTGTTTTCTACCAATCAATGTTACATTTCAGCAGACATCGATACTGCTAGCAATAAAACGGTTTAAAAATTTATTTGAAAAAAAAAGAGACCCGGTTTTGTTAATCTTTTTTCTTTCTTTTTTTTTTTCATGTTTAGAGAACTATCTTGATGAACTGGTTCTTAAAACATAGGAAAGGTAGAATCTAATTAAAACCTAAAACTATTTTTATAAAAACAGTTTGAAACTCTTAAGAAGCTTATTGGGAGATTGCAGACAATGAACACGCACACACACACGCGCGCGCACGCACGCACACACGCACACACACACGCACGCGCGCGAGCACACACACACACATATATATATATATTTTGGGCAACATAAAAATTCGAGAAATTTGAACAGCCAGTGGGATACAACAGATTATGCAATGAAACAATACAAATAAAATATCTTTCTCCACAGGACACTGTATTTTGAAGTGGGTATAAAATATGCGTATTAATATTTTGCAACAATAATAATATTTATAAATATTAGGTACATTCTTTTTTCCGGTGTAGTGTCACTTTGTCACTTTAACCGTTTACCAATTTGTCACTAAACCTGGACTAATTTGATTACCTCCCAAAAATGGCAGGATGTCGGCAACTAGACAACCAAATTGACAACCAAATGACTAAGACGGTCAAAAGTATTTGAACGAGAACAGAAGAAAACATGAACTTCGGACACGTTATCCAATATTTTGATCCCGATGTACATCTTATTCGAAAATTGGAAAAATACAATAAAAATGAAATAGGATAAAAAGGTATCTTCTCGGCCTATTTTATAAAGTCTGGACGGGATGAGTACTTCAGATATATATATATATATATATATATATATATATATATATATATATATATATATATATATATATATATAGTGGTAGTCTAATGAGGTAAATTCGAAAAGAAATAATAATAATAAAAGATCAACTACTAATAAATAAAAATTTTCAACATCCTTAACTGGATCATAGATGACATTAAACGAATGATCCTAGGGTAATACAGTTTCAACATCATTAACTAGACCATAGCTGACATTAAACGAATGGATGCCAAAATGAGAAAGCTTCTCACTTTCAACTGCATGCATCATCCCAAGGCTGTAGGAGTCCAGATCTGAATGAGGCAGAGGATTAGTTCAACTAGAATTGTCTTACAAAACTTGAGCAATTGGTCTTCAATTGGAAACTATAGAAAAATGGTGATCTGTGAAGAAGAGCATGAAATTATTATATTCAATAATAAAGGAAGCCAACAAATTAAAAATGTAACTTTAAGTGGGTAAAAAGTGCAAATATACCATAATACACCTGTTGCAGTGTCAAAGGGCCTAAAAAAAGAAAGCAAATGGACCAAATGCAGAGACAATGGCAAGATAATCCTCTCCATGGTCAATACTCTGCTCGTACCAAAAAAGCTGATGTAGACAAACCTCGTACCCATCAGTGCTCACGTAGTGTCGGGTTAAAAGCTGAAACTGATGGTTTTATTCTTGCCTGATAGAAATTACCAAGCCCACATACTGAAAAATTTGTTAACCCGAAATGCAGATTCTGTGATAAATATCCATAAACTATTGACCTCCTTGTATCAGGTTGCACGGTATTAACACCCTCTGAATATAAAAACACCGATTGATAGATTGGGCCAATATCTGCACTGGAAAATATGCATCTCTTACGGAAACAACTCTTTCTGCAAGAAACTGGTATGAACATCACCCAGGCCTGTTTATAGACATAGGACCTGTAACAACTTTATGAGACTTTACAATACACACAGGCAGAATAAGCAAAGCTAATCACAAACATCGTGATCAAAGATGACAAAAAAAGAATGTGCTTTCTTATTGACATGGGAGTTCCAGCAGACAGTAATGTGTACTTGAAGATATTAAAAAAAACTGTCCAAATACAAGGATGTTGAAGCGGAAATCTCAAAAATGTGGCACATGAGGACATCAATAATTCCAGTTGTAGTTGGAGCCCTCTGTTTGATTGGAAAAGATTATAATAGCTTCATTGAAGAGATCTCTCGTTGCCTACGACTTAAAGAAATACAAACAAAGTGTACTCACAGGTACGAAAGCCTTCACCTGTGTAAAATGTGTGTGGTCTTAGGTTGCCTTTTTTACGAAAACACTGAGTAAAATTTCTTACCTTTTCTGACCTTTTGTCTCTGGTTGGGACCCGGAAGGAAATGAGTATCTTTGTTGTTATCTATCTATCTATCTATCTATCTATCTATATCTATATCCATATATATATATATATATATATATATATATATATATATATATATATATATATATATATGAATGCTGAATAATTATCGCTTTCTACTCAGAATTTGTAGCCCTCAGTATTTACATGATGAGGAAAAATACATAGAAAATACATTTAAGCTTCTACAATATTCTTATTGTTTCATATTCAACGCGAAACAAAAGTCTCGTAAAATATTTCAAAATAGAAGTTTTGGGCATTAAATTTCCTTACATTGTTCTTATATGTAAAAATGTATATATCATTTTGTGTTTTATATATATATATATATATATATATATATATATATATATATATATATATATATATATACATATACACTCTTTTTATTCCAGTTTCGTTAAAGACGACTGCCAAGCTTTTATTTAATTTTTCTTGTGACCGTACAAGTGTTTTCTTTCCTGGACACAAATGTGTAAAAACTGTCCAAAAGTTCTTTTCGCTATTATCAAAGACGATTTTTATTTTTAACTAAATGTGTGGGTTTTTTATATGTGTATCTAAAGTTACAGGAATGTTTTATTTTACAAACATGGTAAGTTAAAGAATAGCCGAAAGCGCTCGGATATGCAGAACCTTTGGACAGTTTTTACACATTTTGTGTCCAGAAAAGAAAACTTGTATAAAACAGGGATTGCTGCCTAAATACACAATATATACACCCGCATATATATAACATAAAAGAAATCGATTCAGAAATGATTATATACTTGCCTTCATTTTTATTTGTGGACCTGATGTATGTTTAAGATATATTTAACTATATTTTACTGACACATTTCTCATAAATTTTCTAATTGAGGTTGACGCATTAATCATTGAACCAATTTCTGAGCATATCCGTTTAATTGAATGACATTTTGTTTAATGCTGTGAATATTATCTTTTACAGAAACTAAAAGTTGTCCTTCAGGATAAAAACACGTCTTCTTTTTACACCGGAGATTCGTACATTATTCTAAGTGTAAGTAACCAACTTTCATTTTATAGATTATTCTCTTTTCTTTTCTTTTTTTTATTATCAACACATTTTGTTTCTCTCGTTGCTCTGCAACTTTTTATGATAATTATAACGAAAATTATTATTAAATAATTTCGGATCTATCCCTTTCTTTTATATACATATATCTTACTTGACATGTAAGGGATAGAATATCTTATGGTGAGAACACTCCACCCACGAAAAGAATATACGGTAAAATAAAAAGAAAAAAGAATCGCTACCTACTTAGTTCAATTCCTACAAAAGAAAAGGAAAACTATGAAAAAAAAATTGAACATATCCTGTGAATAAAGTAAAAAGATTTGCGTAGAAATTCATTGACTGTTGAAAGTCACCTGGAGATGGCTGGAGAGTGTACATGCAAAAAAATAAAAAATAAATAAAGACGAAAATACTGATCCTATGAAAATATCGGATCAATCGAAAAAAGTTTAAAGATTTTCAATTTGTTTGTTGCCAAATTTCAATTCACTTGCATGGTCTAACAATTTGCCATATTGGCTTCTTCAAAAATATGTTTAGATTATTTGATGCATTTAATTCTAAAAGTCATAGAGGCTCCATCGGAAAGTATTGTTGAATTTATAATTTTCAGGAATGATAATTGATTTGTGAAAGAAATTCCTTGTTGTAATTTTTCACTTATGGAATAAAGAAGAAAATAATATGGGAAAATCCCCGAAAAATAAATAATAGTTTTCATTAGATTTTAAAGGTTATGATCTTGTAAATTTTTAGTAAAGATATAGCACAAGATAGAACAGTGCTTTTAATAATCAGACTGATCAAAATAGTCATAGATTATCAAGAAAAACGCATTGAAAATATAACTTCTTTATTAAATAATAAATATTTTTAAAATATATGCACCTTGTTTCTTATCTGACTATTAATTAAACATTCCCATAATGAATAATAAACATCAAATTTGGTGCTACTATTATTATAATGCGATATTCTTGATCAGACTGATATCAGAAAGAGCAATACAAATGCAGAAGGATGTCTACATTTATTTTAGAGATTATACAAATGTGTTTGATAAAGCATATCACAAAGAACTGTTGAAACTTCTAGGTAACCTTGACATATTTGGGAATGATATTAGAATAATACAAAACCTGTATTGGCACCTGCATAACGGATAAAATATGAGTTCAGAAAATATACAAAAATAGAAATGTGTGTAAGACAAATATGTATCTTCTCGCCAGACTTATTCAGCCTCATACAGTGAAGCGACTGTGTGAGAATTGAAGTCCTACCAGAATTCATTATTTGCGGTCAGAATCTTAAGAGCATTAGATACAACACAATGTTAATAGTAGATACAAAAAGGAAACTACAAGCAGTCCTATATAAAGTAGTCAAGGAAAGCGAAAAGAAAAGACTAAACATTAATTGCAAGAAGACAGAATCTATGTTTGTCAGCCCAACATGAAAATTAAAAATTGATGATACCGAAATCAAATAAGTACAACAATTTAAATATCTGGGAAGTGTTTTCACAGAGGACGGAATGTGCGACACTGAAAACCGAAGGCGTATTAGGGAAAGATGCCTTCGAAAAGCTAAGCAACGTATTAAAAAAAAAGGAAGAGTTCGTTAGTACTGCTTACTCTTACGTAATATCAGTCCTCCTCTATGGCAGGAAATGCTGGACAATATCCTCACAGATAAAGAAAAGACTACAAGTAACACAAATGTATTTCGATAGAAGGCATCAGAACATGTGAGCAATAATGAAGCTTTAGAGACAATTGAAACAAAAATGACACTTATACTTAAAATCAGGAAGAGAATGTTGAAATTTCTAGGAAACATAATAAGGAAAGAGGACTTGGAAAGTATGATGCTCACGTGACAGAATGAAGGCAAGAGGGACAGAATGAAGGCAAGAGGGATAGAATGAAGGCAAAGAGGGACAGAATGAAGGCAAGAGGGACAGAATGAAGGCAAGAGGGACAGAAGAAAACAACGCATAACCGGCCTGCCGAGCTTGAGTGAATGAATAACGAAGCAGCGAAAAGATAAAATTTGCTAAGATTACAAAGGACAGGAAATTGTGGAGAGCCATGATTGCCAACATCCTGAAGAGACATGGAACATAGAAGAAGAAGAAGAAGATCATTACAATTGTGGCGTCTCCTTCTATCATGTATTCGGCTGGGCACCAAATGTACAAATGAAAGAGTACAATCAGTCTCGATTTCTGTAAAGCCGTATTTTGAAAAGAGCCTTTGTTATGAAAGCAAAGATCAAAGCTGTGAATAGGAATGAGAGAGGAGACACAAGTCGTTCATAAAAAATACATAGTGAACTGAGGTTACGATTTAAGTAACACCAAATTTACTACTTGATGCAACCAGAGAACTAAAGGTTGCAATGCTCTACAACCAACCAGCTAGCAAGGACTATGCCGATATATATAGATAAGTAGGAAAAAATCAGATTCAATATGAAATTATATTCTTTCATTTCAATATATTAGTTGATGTCTGCAACTGTTGACAATCTTTTTATTTAAAAAATACAATTTACAACACATAGGGCATCACTGAAACATAAACATCTTTTGCGGCATTTGAGGTGTTACCATTTATCGCAAAAATATGTTTATAACATGCATGTCAAGTTAAGAAATACAACCCAAAATATGTTGAAAGATTGCGTCATCTGCAAACACTAAGTTTTTTGAGAATTATCAGTGTTGAGAAACTGAAGGTTTAAGATGTATACAATGAATTTTCGTGTTCTTTGAAACATGTGTCTTTTGTAAAATGACTTTGAAGCAAACAAAAAGCAGATATACTTAACAAAAATATTTAAAATGTAGTAACAAACTTACTAGCAGTTTGGGCTACACCAATAAAAATGGGCAGGAAAGATTAATTTCTGTCAGAATTTCTGGGATGAGGAGTTATCAATACTCAGATCAATGTCCTCAACCTCATTATTACAACTTTTCAGCAGCGGCAAGAAAAGAAGTCGGACAAGCGTGACAGCCGTAGCACTAGCGTTAGACAGACAATAAAAACATTAAGTCTCCAAATACTAGGTTTATACATATTTATACATAAAATTATTTATTTCAATTAATTTGCTTTTATATTGTTTGTCTTAAACTTGCTTGTTTTGCTGATTCCTATTCTCAGAGCGACACTCAATAAATATAATTCAATGCTAGGGACACTGCTGTTCTCTACGGCGACACAGAATAGACTTTTTTAAATTAATATGTAGTCTGTTAAGCTTAAAAAATCAATTAAGAAATGGAATTTTTTATCACAAATAACATAAAATGGCCTCGAAGAAAATGTTTCGTCAAACTATCACGGAACATTCCACTTAAGATAAACAAGAATGCGGTAATGTTAAAGAACAGCCACTGCGACTTGATAATTACTAACCCAAAATTCTACTGACGATCACACTTGAGACTACCGTAGGCAATTTGCTCGAAACTTGGCAGACTTGTGCTACGACAGGAAGAACAATCCCGAACAATTAGCACTTGGTGCACGCAAACATGGAAAGAATAAATGACAAGGAAGCGGCAGTTTTCAGTTGTGGCCAGCCTGAGGCCTTCGACAGGGTGGAGCATCACTTTTAGGTGGTTGCCTTGGAAAACCATGAATTCGAACCGGTATTATACCAATGGATTCATTTTTTATACAGAAACTTGTGTGTGCTACAAGTAAACGGAAAGCACCCGGAGATTATGCGATTGACTCGTCAGAGTTTTCTGTTGTCTTTACTCTTTGCGTTAACATTGCAACACTTCTTGTATAACCTTAGAGGAAATTCGAATTGATCGGTCATGTAAGAAATAAGCCTTTCTGGTGGGAATCAAACCAGGATGTCTGTGTATTTCTTCACCTAACTTACTACGCATTTATCTTTTTCATCTTTGATCTTTAGTTTGATTTCTTTCATGTAACCGCATCATTCTACGTCTTTTTTTTTCAGTTTACCTTAGCAACACCATCTTCTTCAAACATACTTGTACTGGTTAATTCTTAAATTTTACCTTTTATTTTTCTCAAATCTCTTTTTGTAACATTCTTAAAGTTAGTATTTGATATAGTTCTTAACTTACCAATGTTTTCAATTTGTTTTTTGATTGTTTCATAATTTCCAACATTGTGTACTCATTACTTACAAGATATTGCTTCTCTTTTGAGATTATGTTATAACAATCTTTAGATATTCTAAATTTAACAGTAATTATACTATAAAATATATTTATTTAAAATACAATGAACAACCATCGAATTGCAAAATCAAATCTCACACATCCAAATAAGTTATTTTACTTATTTGTAAGATATTGACATTATATTTTAAATATATAGATGTAAGTATAAAGTATATCCTGAATATTTTACCTACGTAGGTTGTTTAATACCAATTATATTAATAATATTATATTATATTACTTAATTAAACAAAAGAGAGTTATTAATAAAAAAATTAAATTGACAAATCGGTTGTGCTTGTTAGAATTATTTTCGGGATTTCTTGGAGAGAGGGTGCACCAAGAATTTTGTTAATTTGTTTTGGGGTTCCTTTTTTATCAAACCCAAATCTTCAACCACAGCAGGAACAGTTTTAGTTTTTAATTGCACTATTTTTTGTTTCCATCTCCAGGTCTTTATATTTTCTTTTTCACAAAGATTCTTTTGTCACCTGCTACTTATATGTCAATCAGTGTGAAAACTTTTTTTTTCTTTTCTGTCTGATTATAATATCTGGACAATTTGCTTGTGTTGTTCGGTCCGTGTTGATAGGAAAAACCCAAAGGATCTGTTCCCACAACTACAGATTCAGGATAATGTTCATACAAGTTTTTTATCGTTTTTTTTTATTCATTTTTATCCCGTAATAATGACAAATCTTCCAATGCAAATGATGTAAATGATGACCTACCCTGTAATGACGATCTTTCTACTCACTTGATGAGTCCTAATGTATTGGTCAGAGAACCGACATTTTGGGTGGTACTATTACCCAAGATAGATTGGTAGTTGTGTTTAAGCAGGAAGAATAAACCCTTCAGACTCACCCTTAATTGTTAAACTTCTTAATCACTGATGGATTGCGAATTGATTTACATAATCATTTTTGCTTTGGGGAAGGAACAAACTATGTAGAGTCTTTTGGTTCCAGTTTTTTTCTATTTGTGTTTGGCCTAGCTTTTTTCTTTTTTTTTACTTCTTGTTTCAGTTCTCTTGCTGATTTTCTGGTATATTCTGTTTTTTCTATCTCTGATCACAATGTCTATGAGATTAGATTTGATTGATCTGTCTGTGTGTATTGTAAAGTCCCATAAAATTTTTACAGGTTCTATATATGTAACCGAATCTGGCTGGTATTCATATCAATTTCTTGCAGTTTCCTTTCCGTAAAAGTTAAATATTTTTCAATGCAGATATTGACCCAATCTGCACTAAAAGCAAGTATGAGGCCATTTTATAATGATGTCGTATATATTCTTTCTAACAAGCATTCCGCAAGCGTAAAGGATGTGGGTGATTATTTTCCACCTCCATACCACACAGCTTGCACTGGTCCGAATCCACTTGGTGCTAGATGTTCTTCCGGATATAATTAGTACTCCGAGTTTAGTTTTGGGCGATTATTATTATTATTATTTGAAGCATCAGTAGCCACCTGTGTATGAGGCTGTTTGCTTTGTTCATTGTCCGTGTTGATTGAGAAGTATTGTAAATTAAAAAATAATTATATTGCTTTGTTAATACATAACAGGACCAACATGTGGTGTAGGTGAGCATATCATATTACACCTTCTGTTTTTGTTCACATTGGTTCACTCCTTTTTCAGCCCACCAGTACACCAAATGACTGTAAAAAAAACAACTCACTATATATCGTTGCTTCATAATCTGGATATAGACTGATATTTATACTCCACATTATTTATTTACAGATCACATCAGATTTTCATGAATTCATCGATGGATCAGCAATGGATCTTGTACCAACAAACGCAAATCGTGTTAACTTATTAAAAATGTCATTATATTTCACAATAATATCTACTTGTTGAAGATACGAAATGAATTTTTGAAACTCGTCTTATATTCAATTTTTCTCTTTATTTGAGAAATCGTGTAAATCTGAAACAATTACGGACTTACGAATAAATTATCATTCAAATTGTTACTTTCGATAACAATAATTGTGATCTCCTTCAGTTCGGAAAATGGCTTTATCAATAATCCGCTGCGTTTTGGAATGTTGCTTTATACTTGGATGTATAATAGGTTGTGTCTTTCTTGTAAGGGACATGAAAAAACGCCGTTAATTCTTATACATCAGTTGTGTTTCCATGGAGCTCTCCAGTCCAGGCTAACATTTCTTTAGGATATTTTTCATTTTCTTATTAAGATATTTCAAGTAGTCGTCAATGCTTGTGATTTTTCTTTCTTTGTTCATTTACCATTTTCGGAATCGTATGGTTAAGTGATGACTTTCTTCTCCTGCCAACAAAATGTAACTACGTGGAAGTTACTTTCTGACTATCAATTGAAGTACCACTCCATGAAGGTCCAGTCGAAACGAATCGAATATCGTCATCATGGAATAAGGATATGCATCAGTTGTTTTATAAAAAATGGACAACTTTTAGTTAAAGGCGATACAATTCTATCAGTGAGTCTTTCACTTATTGTCTATTTATTGCTTTTATTGGTTTTAACTGTGCTTTTGGCTAGTATGGGTGGTGAGGGTGTTGAAATGATAACGGCTGTTTTATTATCGCTTCTCTTACAATTCCTCATTGTTTAAACTCAAACAAAAAGGAAAAGATTAGAGGCTATATTAGTAACGATGATGAATTAATATATTATTATTATTATTATTATTATTATTATTATTATTATTATTATTATATCAGAGAGAAACACGCTAACAAATTGACGCTGAGGTACCAATGCCCAGCATACCCATTATGGCACCAAGTGTACTAGGCTCATGTATAACAGTCAAATGTGTGCGATATTGTGACAGGTTTTGTTAAAATCAACACATAACCTTCAGGTGGGGCCCAGATAGCTGTTAACTCAGTTCAGTAAAACGGTCTCCGATAGAGAGTGTTCCCAAGTATCTAGATATGACTCCAAATCAATTAAGATTAGAAATCTTTAGATCCATGTCAAGATTATTATCATGGAATTTATTATTAGTATTATTGTTGTTATTGTACACATTAAGATTTTGTAGCAGTAATAACTGGAGATTAAGTGACAGCAAGTCTATTCCAGCAAATCTACTTAGAATTGATTCGCTCTTTTTTCATGAGTACTATCAGCTCTCTAAAAATATCAGGCGTAGAATTGTCATTTGCAGAGAATTTTTTTTCATTATTTTTACAATAATTCATAATATTTTTGTTTTCGTAAAAAACACTGTTGTTATTTTCTATAATTTCTATAATAATTCTATGTGAAAGATATTGGAAAAGTTTGAATGTTATTTTTACAGTATGCTTTATAGACATTTCATTTTGAAAATAAATTATTTGGGGCCATTTTTATTTAATTTACAAACAACATCAGATGAAAAATGAATCTGTTTCATTATCCTTTATTTTTTTATTTAATTTGACTTCAACATTTTGTCCGTCTGAAAGAGTTTAAGTATAAGGTTTAAAATGATATGGAGTCTACGATGTACTGGAATCATTGCGTGTAGATATCTATCTAGGTCTGTCATAATTTAGTTATAATTGTTTGGCGTGGGTACAAGGAATTTAGGACGGTTCTATATTAGTTGATGTCGGAAAGTTCTCTGCCCAACTAAGAATGAATTCAAAATACTTATAATATTTGCTTATTTGGTCAGGTTTTGGACAGTAGGCCAAACTGAGAACTTTTCAATACTTCCTTTTATATACTCAATGGGGTTTGTATCTAGTTACTGCAGGGGCTAATTGAATAAGTGTTCCTAGAGCCAATTTCATGTCACCCGTGAATGATGGAGGGTTGCGTTATCCTTATGGAATAAGTTATCTTCACCAAGAAACATGTGGGTATAAAGCGGTAAAAATGTTCTAGAATAACAACTGTGTTTGTCATATCTGTCAAGATTTAACCCAGTTCCAGTAGTTGGTAGCACCAGCAGAACACATCGTACCCAATTATAGAGCTATCACCTTGCACAGCACAATGCTGACAGTTTGGATCTATAATCTTATGCAGTCTTCTCCAAACACGAACTCTACAGTCTGCCCGAAAGAGCTGGAAGCGTGTTTTTTTTAACCAGTACATTATACGGCACCAGTCTTCAACGGTTCAATGGCGACGACGTTTACTGGCCCATCTGAGGTGCAACTGACACTATTCTCTCCTTTGTTGGTTGACGACTACAAAACCCCATGAAATGCAACGTACGTAGTGCATTGACTGATGAGTTATGTGACACCAGCGTTGAACTGGGATGTGATTTAATGTTCCTCTTCGTTAGTCGGATATCATCTTTGTTAGTGACGTGAACGCAATCCATTTATTCCTACTATACACTTACTAATTTTGCTTTAGAAGAAACTGGACCAATTGTCACATCAAAGATATAATATTTCGTTAATTTCTCGATCAAATATTATTAAATTCTGTCTTCACTATATCAAACATACGACATTTGGCCGAGAACACGTGTATAAGTAGAAACGATTTAGTGTAATGTCTGTAATTTTTGGACGTTTATGTAGAGATTAATATAATTTTATTATCTATATCTACAGTTTATGTAGAGATTAATATAATCTGTAATTTTTGGACGTTTCGGTTTATATATTAAATCTTTTTAAATCATTTTTCTAATCTAAAATAATATACGATGAAAGTTTATCGTTTAAACTGATAAGTTTTCCTAAGCCTGAGGATTTGTAATTCCTTTAATATTTCATGGTGACTAACCAAGCAATTTATAAAAGACTGATTAAAAATTCTAACACGCAGCCTGTGTGGTATGTATTCAATATAAAGTCATTAAATAATGGCAGTGCATGAGGGTAACATGCGTGTATGATAGATAAATTATTTTGTATCCAGCCATTTTTTCTATAACATACAAACACATAAATGTCGATATACAACAATAGGCGCGTTACGAATTCGCCGTAAGTTTCATGATCATGAAATGTCAATTGTGATCGTCATTAAAAATTCAATTTTCAAACGCTTTCGTCGAGACTGTGTTACATCATCATCATCATCATCATCATCATCATGAACAGCAGCAGCAGCAGCGACAACGACATCAGCAATAACAATAAAAACAACAATGATATTCATAATAATGGCCAATTGATTCTTTTTGAAAAATATTCTCTCTCTCTCTCTCTCTCTCTCTCTCTCTCTCTCTCTCTCCAGTTTTTGTTCCCCTTCATTCATATTTGACAAAATATTTAACTTTGAACCGTGCATCTTTATTTATCAGGAACGCTTAAATCAACTACATAGAATCATCAGCCTTTATTTCTCTAGTGTTAAGACATCTGTTTAATTAATTACAAAATTCTAAAACACTGTTTGATTGGTTGATTAAATTTTTTTTTATCATGGATCCTATCAACTTTTGATCGCTTTTCAATTGTAAATTGATACTCCCGTCACTTTAAAGTTGGGCTTATCACAAATAATCTTGGAAATTTTAGACAATGTTCTGAAAATTTGAGATAGAAATATATAAGTGTAACTCGATTCCTTGTAGTTTTATTTTCTGACTTAGACACCACCACTGCTGAGATCAATTGATACAAAGTAAACAATTAGGACTCAGTTTTTAATGGTTTTACTCTCGGAAGCAGTCTCAAAACAGACCAGAACCAATAAAGTCTCCTGAAGAATTTAAATTAGGATACCTGCAAAAATACTTGATGAAGCCACGATAATTGCTTTACAAGAACTTCAATGTAGGCTTCATCAAGGCGATGACTGGAATAGATGAAAAATGTGACAAAAATTGGTCGGACTTGAAACAACCAAACCTAAGCAATGGAGGTTCGTCTGGTAAACGGCGAGCAACTGTTTCGCGCCACTAAGTGTATTAGAGCTTTAGAGAAAAGCTTTAAAATCCATGAATTCTTCCGGTTATTAATTTAAATCGGGGATTACGTTATTTGGTGTAATTGTTCGGCTAGTTCGAATTCCTTCTGGTTTGATTACCGGTTCTCAATCAAATCTTCCTTTTTTTATTACTCAAGCGATCCATACTATTTCTAAATATGGTCACATCTGCTTCCTATACACACGGTTCTCTTCTGCTGTTTGGCTACTTCCATATTTAAGAATAAATCTGTGGTAAGGTCATTCAAAATTCATACTATGTGGAATATTTAGGTATATTTTTCCATATCTATGTGGCAGTCTGCCTGATAGTTTTTTCTAGTTTTATTAAATAAGTGAAGAAAAGAAAATACACCATTATTGGTCAAAAATATCAACACAACAGTTACTTTCTTATAAAATTCTATTATGCATATTTTATCTTTCTACATTGTAAATAACGAACTTCAACGGTGCGTAGAATTTTTTTTTTTTTGTAAATGAAGACACTTTTTAGGAAAATACTCATTGTTAGTCAAGTTTGAAAGAATGAGATTTATATTCCATCATTAACCTTATTTTCTTCTGCTTTCAGACAAAAAAGAATCCAAAAACCGATAAAATAAGTTGGGATGTTCATTTTTGGCTTGGTTTGGAAACATCTCAAGTAAGTTGAAATAAAATATACAGTATAAATGTTATGCTTTATTGTGTTTACTAGTTTATTGTCCAGTGTTTTGTCTTTTCATTAAAAACTTTCAGGATTAAGAGACTAGCAGTCTTATAGTAAGATAATGGGCTTTGGAATTAATGTTATAATTCTAAATGGTATGAGATACCATTTAGAATTATAACATTAATTTGTGGCACACCTGAATCGAAGCACGTGTGTACAAACTCCTATCCATACAAACTTTTTTTTTTTTTAAATTAAAATAACATCTCCTTCCAGGACTTAAACGCATACAACTCTCCATAGATTCCTTTTCTTTATTATCTGTAAATTGCCAGAATGGGAAAGATATTGGCGGCGTTATTTTTTAGTTGTATTTCCATGGTTTGGAATTCCTAAAAAATCTAAACTTAAAAAGATTTTCAAATGGAAAATAGGACAAATCAAAGCTCAGTCAGAATTAGATACTTCAGATGATTTCAGGTTGCATTTTATTTTAGAACAATGCAAAAATGCAAATCTTGATATCTGAATACAGGAGGTGCATCTACTTGGTAGCGACTCAATTTCCAATATGGGACACAACTTCTACTAGACAAGCCAAAAGAAAAAAAAAAAACAGAACATGAATTTGGAATTGCAATACACAAATCATTAGGCATTAATAGACAATATCTAACACCAGTCAGAAAGATTAATAGCTGACGTCATAGTTGTTTCAGGTTGTACAATCCAAGTAATATTACCGTATGCTCCAAATGAAAAAAAAGGATTGTTTCCGAAAAGGAGAACATCTACAGAAGTTTTGCTAACCTTTTTTATATACTAGAAAAAAGAAAACTATGCATTAATGGTGATTTTAATGCTACTTCCAGTATTTCTGAAAAACTGAAACCTGTTTGAAATATAAGCCTCAAACAGCAATGGTGATCTCTTGTTAATTCAAAATCTTTTTAATTCAAAAAGATATTCTCCCCTAAACACATGCTTATACCATCCCATAAAACACCGGAGCAAATGGCATAGCCCAGATAACGCAAATAAAAAAAAGATTACTGCTTCACCATCTCGAATATTTTAGACATTTTGTGACCGAGTATACAACTCTTACTTTGAATCTGCCCACAGACTTCTTGTAATATAACTGACAAAACCAGCCAAGAAATAGTTCGTTCCGCTCACATAAACCACGAAAAACACCTAAATATAACATCCAAGCCCTTAAAAATAAAAGTGTAAGAGTAGAATCCTGTGATTAAACTCAGATTGATGCCCCCCAAAGAATAACAGAACAACATAGAAGAATCAAATAGGTTAATTGTACCTTCTTTAACCGAGACCATTCCAAAAACAGAGTCTGTCTCCAAAAATAAACAATAAGGAACCTAGTTATGAAGAATCAAGAAAAATGCTAACGAATAATAAAACATCATTTGATATTGAGGCTGAAATTTTGAAAATAGCATACCCCCTCCCCTAATTTGAATTCGAGGAAATTCATGAAGGACATTGTTAATCAGAAGCGCATCCCAGAAAGGTGAAGTATATTTCACATTACTGCACTATGGAAACAAAAAGATAATTTTCAAGACACACATACATAGGCAGGTATCTCAATTGGATCTATTATGGTGAAAGTAAGAAGGTACATTGTATTAATTAGGCTCTCAAAATTCTATCAAAGTCAACTCCTCACAACCCAATTTCGTTTTCGCTCTGCTTAGGGGTGTAATAATGGCATATATACAATAATTCCAAATATCACAATAATCCCAAATATCTTGGAACAGGTTCTATAAAGGCAAGTAATCTTTAGGAACCTATTCTGCTGATTTTCTTTTCAATCTGAGAATGGAAACAAATCCCTTGATAATCTCAAAAGAACTAAACAATTTTGATAACTTAATAGAAAGCATTTATTTATTAAGATATCCCAGATTTAAATTCTGTTCTCATCATATTTCTGTTCATAAGTATGATGCTTTTTGACTCTGTTTCATAATTTCTTAGCCACAATTGCTGTACTCCCAAAAATCCAATGCAAGACCTATCAAATTTATTTATTAGATTTGCCATATTTTTAACTTCAAGATGATTTCTTTTGTTAGAATAAATTATGTTCATCACAGAAAAACCTCCTTCAGCCTCTGCAGAATTTACAGCATTGGTATTAATTATATTTTTAGCTCTTTGAATAGTTTTGGGTACAATAATTTTTTGGTAATTTCTCGTTACGTTTTCAACGTAATCGTAGAAATAATTAACAGAGAAATATTTTACAAAAATCCGGTAACTTCTTTTCAGCATCTTTCCGGGGAACTACAGCTTCTTCCATATTCCAAGAATCCAACAACTGGTTTGCTAATCCTTTATAATTTTAAGAAACCGAAACGGTAGAATGCCAACACTGCATATATACCATCAAATAACTGCAGCAAATTGACAAGTATGACAAGGAGGAAATGAGAGATCCAGTCTATTTAATATTTTACTAGACTATGCCCCGCGCATTTACAAGTATAGATGCGAAGAGATGGGTACTGGCAACATCCTAAACGAATGCATTGTCTTTTTCTTAGACTTTCTGCTATCCAAATCTGCCTTACTAAAGCTCGAGGAAGGAGAGATGGATTCATATTTTTTCCCATAGGCATTAGTGTGAATGTGATATGTCCATATACAAAGTTAGGGGTTTCAAATTTACTTGTAGGCCGAGAATGATTTTTTTTTCTATTTATATAGAAGTCGTTAATAAGTCACGTCTATTCGTAACAAGTGGAAAATTTGAAAAAATATAAAAAAAAAAGATCAATTAAAAATCAGAGTGGAAAAAAATCTGTGTATTTTAAAGTAAAGAATCATAACAACTTAAACCTTTTTTTGCTTCATCTTTGTTAATCTTTATAGTGCTTTGTTAATCATGCTAACCTCTGCCACGCATCAAGGTTTAATTTTTAAATAATAAGCTTACAATATTTTTGTCTCTTCACAACTTTGTTCGGAATGAGAATTGCTTCTTTGACGATTTCAGTCTTCGGTTTCCGTCAGATCTATAATCTGTGAGAGAATAGAAAAATTCCCGATTTCTTCAGAAAATAATAAAGGAGAGTAAAGAATGTATCGTCCGAAATGTTGTGGCAATAACATCTCTACAAAGAGTACAATTGTCCGAAAACATTTTGCAATTTTAACAGGGCATAAGAGTGTTATCAAAAATGCTATCTGATATGTTCTATGTCAAAAAGTAATCGAGATAATAATAATGGTGTTGTATGCGATGGTGATCCAGTTTCCGCCAATTAATTGAAGTGGTTGCAACGGTCAGTTGATTGTCAATTTGATTTTTTAATCATTTCGCCCCAAACAAAACAATAAAGCTACTAAGACATAAAGGGTTACTGAGTATGAAAGAATATAAAAAACATTATTAAGGGGTGAGAACAATAAAAGAACAGGGATCAAGATTACAGAGATAACGATTGACTATGCATTAAATTTTTGAAGTTAATTCCAATTCCAGCCAATTCAACTGTAAAAATGACGAGACCAATCAAATATTGCACTTAAATTCTTAAAATCTGGGTATCATCGAAGAAAGCTCATCAGAACAATTACTATGAAAGTATTTATAGAAAAGGCTCATAAAAGCTACATTACGGTGGTGGGAAAGTGACTGAAAACTAGATGTCAGGTCAGAAGCAATGAAATTGCCGATTCTTTTCATTTTATCAAGAATCTCTTAATATATAGCAGGAGCATATGATTGTAGAGTATTTAGTGAAATGACAGGTATTTTCTTTCTATTTCCTTTTAGGATGAACAAGGTGTGGCTGCCTATAAAACAGTGGAATTGGACGACCATTTGGGTGGAGCACCTGTACAATACCGTGAGGTAAACAGTTGTAATGAAAAATACTTTCCTTTACAACCCAAATTAATTGTCAATATATAAAAAGTTTGTATAAAATTGAACACGGAAAGCCTAACAGTTTTATGATCTTTTGTCAAGAATGACATTGTTAAGTAAGAAATCTGGGGAGTACTGTATAATCGCAGAGCATCCGTAGGTCATCTCGAAAATTTCTAGATTCCTTTTTAAACTAACGCTGTTGGTTCCGGAAGAACTAGTTTAACACTAAATCAACTATTATGAGATAAATAGTAAACAACAACAAAAAAAAACAAAACAATCTAAACATTATTATAAGATAGATAGATAGATAGATAGATAGATAGATAGATAGATAGATAGATAGATAGATAGATTTAAGAAAAATAAACTTTGCACGCACGCAAACAATAAATAACAATCTCTATATGTGTCTGTAAATCTATATATTCGCGTGGATATATATTTTTAATCTGTTCGGACTGTTCATACATTTGATCCAATTTTATGAAATTTAATTTTCGTTTAAATAATTATTGCAGAAATTATATAAACATTAAAATTATTCAAGTATATAAACATAGCTATTTTTTAAATATTTTTTTTAAATAAAGGCAAAAACTTTTGAAATGTATGAATTTTTCCACCCCTCACATCTCAACAACTCATAAATCTTTAACTCTTCTACAAATTGATCAACTTTATTTGTAAAATTTATGACATCATTTGTTCATTGGTTGTAATAATAGTCTTAGTTTAATAATGTAATAGCTAGCGTGTGAAGAATTATTGTTTTTAATCATTTCGCATCAAGCAAGGCAATAAAGCCACTAAAACGCAAGGGATTACTGAGTGTAAGAGAATATGAGAAAAAGAAAACATTATTAATGATAGAGAACGTGAATTAAGAAAAAAGAAGATAACCATTGACATTGTATTTAAGTTTTTGAAGATTAATTCTACAAGCGAGAGGTGTAAGAGAAGAATCTGTTAGCATAGAACTGACGGTTACATCTAGCAGCCATTTCAACTGCAAAATGATGAAACCGTGCCGCCAATCTAGTACAGCGATTAAATTCATAAATTATAGATACCAAAGAGGAAAACTTCTCAGAACAATTACCAGGAAAATATTTATGGAAAAGGCACAGGAAAGCTACGTTACGGCAGTGGGGGAGTGACTGAAGTCGAGATGCCAGGTCAGGGCCAGTAACATTGCAGATTCTTCTTTGTATTTTTATCAAGAATATCTAAATACATAGAAAATGCACCAAGCCAGATGTTACAGCAATATTCAATATAGGGACGAATGGTAGACTAATAAATACGTAAGATAGATTCTGTCTCGCGCAACGCAGTGAACTAACTTTACTATCAGCAGACCAAGCAATTCATTAAATATAATCTTTGCACTTCATCTTAGCGGTAAACCTTAGCAAGAAGTCAATCTCCTGGAGGTTAACGTCAGCCATGCTGATGGAAGGCAAAAAAAGGTTTTCTCAGATAATAAAAAGAGAGCGTTAAAATTGAGAAGCTATTCCTTGCCCCAGTTAACAACAAATTGTACGTCATCTTTTAACTCAGCTGCCAATTTGACTTTATCAAACCGATCAGAGAGGAGTAAATAGTTGTGCCGTCAGCATAGATACCGAGTTCAGAACTAATGGTATCAGGCAAGTCGTTAATGAAAATTAAGAACAAAATAGGTCCAATGATAGAGCTCTGGGGTCACCTGCATTAATATAAAAAGATCTAAAAGAATGCTCGTCCAATATAACTTTCATTTCGCGATTTTATAATTGATTCTGCACGAAAGTCTAAACTCAATATATTTGCCTTTGTTTAATCGATTATTATTTTAGTTTGGAACTTACAAAAGAATTCATTTAAAAACAATAGAGAAATAAATTCAAAATACTCAAATTATTATCGAAATGATTTTTCATACATTTAAATGTTGATCCCGTAAGATTTTACGCCATACGTTTGAATTCGAAAGCTGACAATTTTCTTTCATCATTTGCCTTCAAAATTATGTCGTCTGTAGAGATTTTGTTTGTTCCGCTGTGATATTTCGAACAAAAAATTAGAAGAAAAATATGAAATAAAATATTGCGAGTAAAAAATGAAATTTAATAATATTTAAGAAAATTACCAATATTATTTTTTTTCAAGCAAAATATACCCGGCATATAAAATGTAGATCTATGACTAGCTTAAGTTATTTGTTGTCGGAGTTGTAATTATTTTTTTTTCTAAGGGAGTAGATCTCAAATCACAGTTTGAATGTTTACGTTTTTAAGCGCCATGTTCCATTGAATGACTATCATTATTATTGATGCTTCAATAACGCTTTCATTCGTCTAAGCATAAAGTTTAATAATGAAGCAAAAAAGGATTGAATTTTATCATTTGAAAATTTTAATAAAGTGTTCAACATATAAATTCGTTTGTCAATGAAATAACTTAAGAATTGAAATTTAACAAAGATATAAATTGTTTTCCCAAATCCCTTTTAAACCCCAAATCAATACATCGATTTTCTCTGCATCTGCTTTCATTTATTGCTGCTTCCAGTTTTCATGCTCCAATTAGACATGACTGTGCCTGCTTTTATTTATTTTGCTAATTTTCAGGTTCAAGAACACGAGTCGCAGCTGTTTCTTTCCTATTTTAGGAAAGGAATTACGTACGTAATACATTATTGTTGTTGTTGATGACGGTGGCGGTGGTGGTGGTGGTCAGAGTATCGGAGAGAAACTGTACTTGCTGTTGGTGGTTGTGGGGATACTCGATTTGAAATTTGTTAGAGTTGAATGGAAAATGCGAAATGTTCACATAGAGTTTATAGAGTGATTTCATATTCTGATTGTAGATGTTCATTTTGGGGGAGCTAATAAATTTAAACCAAAGATAAAATCAGTATTTATACAATCTCTCCTACTACGAGTCATATTGAACTAATTTTGACGTAGGTGGTTGAAAACTTTAATATAATATGGCTTCAGAAATAAATTCGAAAGCATTATTATTATTATCATCATTAATAGTTAATTTTATTTTCACTGCATTCGTAACATTTGTTTTTATGAAAATCAATTATATATTTATTTTTATCAATGCGTTTGCTTGCATAAGTCTCTACTGCTACATTAAATTTTCTGAGTATATCTTTGCGTCATTAAATTAAGTTATATATATTTTATCTCATTGAGAAGTGGTCCAGTATGACATCTTCTTGTTCTGTAAACTTCTGAACCTGATAGTTTTCGGAACAAAATAATATTCATATTTCTTTCAATAAATCATTTCTAAAAGATCTAATTTGATGATTAGACTAAGGGAAGCAACTTTTATATATGCAATACGAGTTATTTCCCATGAAAAAATAATACCTATATTTTGATTTAATTTTAAGAATTTAAAGTGTACTTTGAACTTTTGTAAAATTTAAAATGAACGTCTCCGGAGAATGATTTTGAAATCATTATCGACAACAACCAGTAACTCTATTTTCTTCTCAACCATAATAATTTCTTTGTTCGTTATTATAATTATATTTTGTTAGTTGAATTTTCACACTCATTGGAACTGGTTTTCATTAAAGATCAGGCGATAGAAAGTTTTCTTGGTGTTCCAACACTCGCTAATTTAATCATATTTTCGCAGTTCTGTCGCGAATTCTTGTCTTCAATTTTTGCAAGGAATTATTAATTTTTTTTACAAAGCTCCTCCAAGCACTACATTAATGATGAGGACAGCTGCCAATTTTCATATTATTTTAGTTCTCCAGCAAAGTTAAGATATCACTTCACAGTTTCATTCTTTTTCAATTCTATTCTGTTGCTTCTATGTTTGCAATAACCATCTTTTGTCTTCCGGTTTGGACATAGAATGTTCCGTGTGAATTTCAAAGTTTAAAAGAATTCTACTATTTTCCTTTTAAAGAATATACCTTCTGGTCAGTGCTTTTGTCTGTACGCTTAAATTCAAACCGTTTCTACAATTGCCAAATGATTACCGTTCTAACCCAATCATGTATTTCTTCTGACCTCGTATGTTACTACTTAAGTTAACTGTTTTACCTCCTTTTTGTTATTCTACTGTTAATTTTAGCTATGATATAGTTTCTTCTATACACTTATCCTGAGTAGCTGGTATTAAATATTCCATTTCTCTTTTAAAATATGCTTTGCGCAACCATGTCCAGGATATAACACCCACAATTCATTTTGTTTGTGATTAAAATTCTCCAAGAAATTTTAATTCCCACCCTTGTCCTCTAGTTTATTGCTTTTCTATTCCAACATTTACTGCTGTTTTATTGGTTTTGTTCGAGTTCTTGGCTGTTATAATTATTTTCTGCCTATTCTACTGTGTGTACGATGCTAATACTCTGATTATTGATTCAACACGTACTCTGATGAAACCTTTTCCTCCCTCTTTTCATCTCTAATGGATAGGATATCATCATCATCATCATCATCATTATTAAAGAGTATTCATAGAAAGATGATGCTATGGTCACTAAATCGCGCTTAAATATTTCCATTATCCCTTTAAAATATGCAATCGATAAGATCAATTAAGATAAACATTTTAATATCAACTGCAATAATATCCTTTTATTAATATAACTATTTTGAGCTCTCCGTTACGAGTACTTTTTATTATTGTTATTGTATGTGTGCGTGTGTGCTTATTTTGATATTTTTATAAAACGATATCTTTATCAAAATCTAACACCAAAATTTTACTTTTAGTATAATTTTCATAAAATACTTTGTGATAAAATGGCGAAAACTCTCATTGTAAACAAACTCTTTTCCATGTGTATTCTTTGCATATGTAAATTTCTAAATATGAAGATTTTTTCTAGAATTAGGAATAATTTTAAAATCAAAATTATCTTAAATTGGTAATTGCACCTCTTTTTCTCATCTTTGTATTAGTAACTTGAATAAGTACTTGCTGATTTTTCATGAAAAGTAATGAGTAAAGTAATGAGTAATGAGTAAGAATTCCACGTCGGAAAAACGACACGAGTCGACCTGTTTTTTTGGCATCTTCATAAGAATGAAAGTGCTGCTCAGCCAGGCCATGTGCCAACAATCGGAACAAGTAATAATCGGACGGGGTGAATACGGCGGGTGAAGTAGGACTTCCCACTTAACTATTTCCAAGTAGGTTTTCACCTGTTTTGCAACATGTGGCCTAGCGTTGTCATGTTGTAAAATCACTTTTTCCTATCTCTGCTCGTATAGCTGCCGTTTTTCTTCAATACTCGGCTCAAACACATTATTTGTAGTCAATAGTGATCTCCCATGATGGTTTCAGTCGGTTTGAGTAGCTCATAATAAACTACACCCAGCTGATCCCACCAAAAGCAGAGCAGAAGCTTCGAAACATGGATATTCGGCTTTGCCGCCGATGTTGATGCATGGGCGGGCTTACTCCAAGATCTTCTACGCTTAGAATTATCGTAGTGTATCCACTTTTCATCGCCGATCAAGATACGATGCAAAAAACTTTCCTTTTCTGTCGTTGAAGCAACTGTTCATACGTGACAAGACGCCGTTCGACGTCTCTCGACTTCAACTCGTACGGCACCCAATGTCCTTACTTTTGAATCATTCCTAATGCTTTCAAACATTTCAAAACTGTTGTGTGATCAACTCCTAATGATTCTGTAAGTTCAGCTTGCGCCTGACATGAGTCTTCAGAAGTAATGTCTTCAATTCTTCGTTTTCCACCTTTTTCGGTGCGCCAGAGCGTGCTTTATCTTCAACATCAAAATCATTATTTTTGAAGCGTCTAAACCAATCTCTGCATGTTGTTTCCGAAAGAGCATGATCGGCGTAAGTCTCAACAAGAATTCTGTACGCTTCAGCTACAGATTTCTTTTGAATAAAGTAATGCAGTAAAATTCCCCACAAATACACTTTATTTGGTACGAGAACAAACATGTTTAACGCTATGAAAAAAAAAGTTGTTTATACTTCGGTTAATTGACATACACTGAATTTCAAGCTTGCTTATAGTACTTCTTTATAGATGCGTTACCATCTGAAACTACTCACACGCAGTTCTAGGAACGCCATCTGTTGAAAAACAGTGAGAACTTATTTAAGGTCCCAATAGTAATTATGAAATTGATTGATAAAAAGCAATTTTTTAAAATTGAGTAATTCTTTTTGTTTTTGATTTCATCTAAGTATATTAGTGAGGCATCCCTCGATTAATACGAAATCGATTAATGCGTTTTCGTTTAGTGCGCTAAAATCTTTATATACCAAAATTTGATTAGCGCGGTAAAACACCCTTCAGTTTAACCATAGTAACTGAAAATTGAGTTTTTTTTAGTTACCGCACTAACCGAGCGATTCTTGTGATTAATTTTATATTATATTTTTTTCTGAGTAAATATATGTTATATATAATATTCTTCCACTTTTTAAGGCATTGTTAAATATTTAAATTCAAGTGAAATTCTTAAAATACTGTATGACATTTAAATATATTGTGCATATTTAATATGATAACGAAATAAGGTAACAATGAAGATATATATGGGAATTTGTACTTCAATAACAGAATTTGGCGATAATAATAATAATAATAATAATAATAATAATACCACCAACAATATGAATTCTTATCTTAATTGACTGGGAATGTTAACATGTTTATGTTTTGTCTAGGATGTAGGACAGTAGTAAGTATCTTGGTCAATATCACAGCTTTGCCTGTCAGTTGCCTAACCATAACCAATTAAGCATGTTTCCTAGGGGCTGATGCATTGTGCATATCTATTTATAAGCAGGAACGTTAAGGGAGTATTTGCGGGAGCATCACGACCGGGTATCAAGACGGTTTATTTTTAAAAGATCAATTATCCAATACAATTTAAGGTATCACATTTAAATACTTGAGAACACAAATCAATCGGAGACCATCTGAGCGAATTAGATTACTCGACTTTTTTTTCTATATGAGCCATACCTGCTTTTATCGAAACCTGTAACTATATCATGCACATTTGGCTGTGATGCACGTGTCGGATATATACTTAACAGACTGTGTGTCATGATGTTTATACTGAGTTTTGTGTATTTGTACCGCGGCGTCAATTTTTTACGTCAATTTTTTTACGTGGTAAATACAAACTCAATAACAGAAAAGCGCACTATTCGTGGAAAATGAGAAATGCAGCTGTTCTGCAGACTGAAACAGTCAGAATTCTGAAAAAGATGATGTCGATGTAGAGAGTTGTTGTGACTCGCTCCTTGTTGCTAAATTACGGTAGATGATCTGCTTGAATAATAATAATAATAATAATAATGACAATGCAGTTCCTGCTGATTGTAATGTATCTTTAAAGTCCTTCAAAAACTATCAAAATACAAAGATCTTGAAGTGAAAATCTCAAAAATCAACAGGACTGCATGCATCAATAATTCCATTTGGAAAGCCCCAGATTAATCATAAACTCTCGAAAGGGATTCTGGTAAAAAAAAGAAGAGATTTATCTAATATGAAATGTGTATTTTTTTTTTTTTTTACAAATCTTATTAGTGGTTGGGGCCCGGGAAAATGATGAGTACACACAGAAATCAAAGGAAATAATAATAATAATAATAATAATAATAATAATAATAATAATAATAATTGTTAATAAAACTATACAATTTCTACGATGTTCTTTTTTCTTAGAAGATGATCTTTTTTTTTTTAAAATAATAATAATTTTCAACGAGTTCCTGCTGATTTTAATTTTATGATCTTTAAAAAAGAAAATGCAATCTTCTAAAAGGAATATCGTGGAATATAAATTATTTTAAATTTCACAGCAAAGACAAAATACAAATTTCCAATCGTGTCTCTTTGTTGAAGTGAAAATTTCAGAAAAAACCTGCGCTACATGCAACTCATCAATAATTCCATTTACTGCGTTGAAGGTCCCCCACAGGCTTCGAACCCTGTCTAAAAGACCGTTACTCAACGTGTTCAACTTTAAACTCTCGAAAAAGGATGAAAATTAAAATAGAAACAAAACGTCCAGTATGCCTCTTCCAGTGGATAAACAGGGAGCCCGTCCTTCAGGAGGGAACCTACCTGAGGTCGAAAAAATTAACAAACTCTAAAATGAATCTTCAGGTCCCCAAAATCCTGATGGTCCTGTATTTTTTTTGGTCTCGTGAGGAGTACAAAGTTGTTTTTGCATTCCATGAAGCGTTACTCAAAACTCAGAAAAACATCACAAATCTTATTAGTGGTTGGGGCCCGTAAGAAATGCGAAATGACCGATTGACAGAGGCTGAAATTACAAATAAAAAGAATTGCAACAAGAATAGATGAACCAACAAAACATGAAAAGGAATCAAAAAACCGAAATACAATAAATTTAGAAATGTTGGAATATCTTAATCAATAAAACGAGTTCAAAATTCATAACATATATTAATATAAATATCAAAATATTGCAATGGAGGAACGAGAACACAACCAAGCCAAAAACCATGAAGAAGATTGCAATCTCAAAAGATATATGCATCAAAAAAAAGAAAAATAGAAAAGAAATTGAACACCTAAAATTATCAGTACTTGAACAGATGAAAATAACGCTGAAAATGAAGTCCTATCAAGAAGCAAACACCTCTCAAGATTCTATAGACAGAACAATATCCAAAACGATGCAAAATAAACCCAATGGTAAACAAAGAATAAAAGTTAAAATGGAAGAAGTCATCGAAAATGGTTAAAGAACACAACGAGCATCTGGATTAAACGTCTAAACCAAACAGACATGGCAGGAATGAAAGAAGATTTATTCTTGCAAAAGCGCAAACTGAAATCCAGGAATAGATTTCACTAGGCTATATTTTTAAATACAGCAAAAAAAACTATCATAAATGGTTACCGATCCAACTAAAATTCCTGGATCCAAAATGCAGGTTCTTCTACCCAAAAATAGTGACAAATATTCCAAAAAATAGACAATAACAACATACAAACCATCTAATCTCAAAGATGTTCTATAACTTGCCCCAAAATGAATATAAAGACCAATTACTTATTAATAGGATGATCCTAAAAAAAAAAATCGTCCTGGATAGATAGAAAGCATTCTGATAGTGGGATCTTAAAGTCAATACAAGGTTCACCCGTTACTGACAATGTATGTCGATAAACACTTTGGAAAATGTGTAAGCAAACATCAATAGAGGAATATTTCAAGGTGACTCTTTGTGAACATCGGCATTAACAGCGACAGAATGCGGTTACAAAAATAAAAGAAAATCAACCATTCTATTTTACATGGATGACTTAAAATACCATCCAAACAAATGCAGACATCGAAAAATTGAAAATGTGCAAATAGGCCGATCGACATTCCTCTATTAGTTTAAAACCAGAAAGAAAAAAACAAGGAGAAGCTTATTGCCTACTAATTGATACCATAAGAAAATGAAAGAAATAATTAAAGAGTCCAGCGGATTAAAAACTGAATTGAATAACATAGCAAATAACCAATCCCAGAATTTTTCAAAAACTATCAAAATACAAAAAGGACCTGGAAAAGAAAGCTTCTTTCTAAATAAGAAAAATGTGTAGACCGTCTAACCCCGTAAAGAAGGTGGAAAGGTCTTATTCAAGAATAATACCAGTATTGGTAATAGGTGCAATGACTTGGAAAAATTATAAAAAAACAGGAACAAAACAACACATTTACATTTAGAAAGTAATCCCTGAAACCAACTATTGCAGCAAAAGATATGAAAAAGAAAGCCAGACAAAGCCCTAACAGAAAATTGTCTTATTATCCAGAACGTGCAAATAAACCCAATGTTGATACAGCACACACGATGGTTACTCTGGATTAAAGTCTGAAACTGAACTTTATTCTTGCAGCGCAAGACCAGAGTACTAGGAATTTTCAGGCAAATATCATCGGATCCAAAATGCAGGTTCTGTGACAAATAAAAAAAAAAAAAAAAAGGATGTTCTAAAAAAAATATAAAAATCGTCAATAGAAAATTAACAATGAAAACACTGGAAAATGTGTAAACAAACACTGGCCATAACCATTCTATGGGATTACACAGACAGAAAAAATGAAGCAAATAGGCCGATTGTCAAAAACCTGCCTTAGGTCCAGCGGATTGTAACCAACCAAAGACTTCAAAATACAAAGACCTGGTGAAATAGAAAAAAAATGGAAATTGAAAACAAGAATAATACCAGTGTGTCCAATTATAAAAAATGGAACAAAACAACACATTGAAAGAATCCCTGGAAACCCCAGCTTAAGAGACATACAGAAAATTGTCTTATAATTGTCTAATATCGGATAATGAAATGGCCAATAATAATCTTTCCATAATAAAATCATAATAATCAAATACAAAGCAGAAAGTATAACATATGCAAATAATAATAATAGGAAGAAGAAGAAGGGAAAGAAGTTACTATTTATTTTTGCTAAATTTCTTCAACACACAAAAATAAATGCAAAAACTGGCAAAATATTTTAAAATAAACTGATATCGACTTATAAGAAATAATTAATTTTGTATGGATGAATTTTATTGTTTTGTGATCATTTAGAAATAAATAAAATATTTCAATTTTGATTTTTGTAGATATTTGGAAGGAGGCATGGAGAGCGGGTTTCGTAAGGTAGAAAAACAAAAATATGTGAAGAGGCTTTTACAAGTAAAGGGACGTCGAAATGTACGAGTTAAACAAGTGAGTCATTAAACAATGCAATATTCGACCATAAATATTTTTTGATCATTGATACAAGTAATTTGGTTCAGTTCTTTAAGGAATGATTGTGACTGCGGTTCTTTCCAGGGAGAAAACCGAATAGTTATTCCCTACAAAGAAAATCGATCATTTCCTTCTGTAAATTATCGATAGAAATAAAATATCTTCAAGAAGCAGAAAAGTTTAACTAAGTGTAAATGACTTCAAAACTTGAGGAAATGGTGGAAAAATTGGAAGAAAATCATTATTTTCCGAACACACGAGTATTTCAGTTTAAGGAAAAGTCCTAAATGATGAATTTTGCAACTAGAAAGAGATTGTCACGCTTCTATAAAGAACATGTTATATAGTTTGGTGACAGATTCATACAGAGCCATAAGTTTAATTTATCTCGCCGTGGTATTGAGGGTAACTTTTCTCTAATTTATCTTACTACATACTGCAACGTATATAAGTAGTATATATTTCCCTAATCCTGAAACAAAAATTATATTTTTAATATAATATATATACCAAAATATATTTTTCATTTATTTTTGGGTGCTATATTTTGATCAAACCTTAATGAGGAATTTAGATATACTATTCCTAACTTTTCCCTCATGAGTAAATTGTGCTTCATTTCAAAACAAAACCTGTATCACGGTGGAGTAATGGATAGTAGCTCGAATTGATGAATCGTAGAGCCGAGTTCGAATTCCAGTCGAATCCATTACGTGCTAATACCCTTGGGAAAGGTATGAATCCTCTTCTTAAGCTATGGGCAAATAGCAGGACAGACCGGGTTCTATATCCTTGGACAGCAACTGGTCTACCGCAGAAAGAAATGACAACCTACTGCGGGAAAAAAAATCTGTTTCGTCAGTCATGATACATAACTGACTGATCTTGACATTAAATTAAAAATGTGTGTTCATGCATAATGATATATTATTTAGTTGCTTTCATGGTTTTAGTAAAATTTCTTAATATTCTATATCTTTTCTATTTGCTTAGATGACTATAACCAGCTTCTTTCCTTGCTGGTCAATCCCCTTTTTTTTGTTTATTACCCATTTAATTTTTCGCAGATTTCCTTATGTGACATTTTTAAAGAAACAAAAATGTTGTAATTTTTTATCTGGTTCTTATATTACATGTTTTTTTCTTTTACTTTTTTGACACTTCTCTGGTCTTGATTAAACCTTTCCACAATTTCCGACATTGCATTCCCATCAATCAGTTGCTTTATAATATTTTTGGCGGTTAGAACTTTCGACGACTCATAGCAACATTTCTATATATAAAATTCAAAAATATATATTTCAGTAACTGTATTATATGTGAGCGTGTGTGTGCGTGCGTATGTACAACTTCTAGTTGTATCATAAAGTCATACCACCAAATAAGCTTAAAACTAAAATTCATTTGGTACATTTATCATAAATATATCCTGAAAACTTTACCAACATCGATTGGTTAATTGCCGTAATTTGCATAATAAAATCATATACGTTGTGTGAATTTATTGTCGTAATACTTAAAGGCATCGGAGTAAAGAAAGTTTGTAAAGATTTATTTGTATTTATTTATAAACATATTATGTATCCGTTGCTATCACAACTCAACACATTAAACCTGTTCTGTTTGATTCTAACGCATGGTTGAGCTTTTACTGAAAGCATGTATTTCTGCACGACCATCCAACCACGAAACGCTATTTTAAAGAAAGTAATTTAACTTTCTTTGAAAAGAAATTCAGAAATGCATAATTAATTCTATTATTAGTAAATTTTTATGAGTGAAAAACTTTTTTGCATGGGAGGTAACCTCTTGGAGTTTTAAAATGTGATTATTGCCTACAACCCTATTGTTGTAAGCCTGTCAAGTTGTCTCTCTTGCTATATATATATATATATATATATATATATATATATATATATATATATATATATATATTTAAAATTAAAATATATAATAATATATTTATAATATATATGATTATTATATTTATATATATATATATATATATATATATATATTTGTACATATTAACAGTATAGGCAACAGTAATAAAATGAAGAAGTCTTAACACACAATTTTAGGTCAACACCACGAGAACTCGAATCTCATAACGCTAATGAAACATGCATTAATATATATATATATATATATTATATGGAAGCCTGACGAGCGGGATCGAAACCGGTTGCTTCCCCCCCCCTTGTTGTTGAGTTTTTTTTTTTATTATTTAATATTGTCTTGTAATATTAAATTTCACACTTTTATTTCGATCATTAAATTTTGTACCTAGAAAAATATCTTTATATATATATATATATATATATATATATATATATATATATATATATATATATATATATATCAACAAAATTTACAATGGATATAGACATTAACATTTGTGTGTGAACGTAAAGAGTTTGTGTTTTGGTGAATGTTTGTACGTACGTGTATGTGTGTTTCATGGCGTTTTCCCACAAGTCGGCGAAACGCAGATTTCTTCGAGAGATCACATTTTGCAAATGTGTCCGCTGAAATGCAAAGTAAAAAAGAGAAAGAGGCAAGAAATCGCCCAATATTTATAGCGTAGGGAGAGCGTGCCCTAGTGAACAGTTAGGAAATTAAGGAGGAGTTAACTCCGACACATGTCCCTCACCGCTTGAACGAATCGCAATCTTCAGGTGCTGAGTATACTGAAGATTGTGTTGTACATGAAACTACAAGTCGTGATTGCGGTGAGGGATAATAACTAACTCCAAAGAAAAGCGATATCTAAGGTTTAAAATGCACTTTAAGAATTAAAAATCTTTCTTGAAGCTTTTATTTTAGTTTCAATTCTAAACTAATAGATTAAATTTATTACTTCCATTAATCAAAATACTTTGCTCTATTTCAAATTGAATGTACATTGATTGAAATTAATTTTGTTTTTCTGTTTATCAGTAAAAATCGATAAAATCGTACATATTGATACATCTGACCGCACAATATATATTAAAAAAAATAAAAGATAAAATATTTTTATGAAACGTTTGAAAAGAAGTAACTTATTTAAAGTCTAATTAATCCGAATTGAAACAAATATTTCTTTTAGTTTAAATCGCATTTTTAAAAGCATTTTTCTTAACAAAAAGATGGATGCTTTTTTGAGGTTTGACACATTTATTTGATGTTTGGGTACTTTATGTAAAGGACAAATAACTGTATAGAAAGTACATGACGAATACAACATAAACACCTTTTTATATATATATTTTTTAATACCCAGTAGTCTTTAAAAAGAAATATTTTAAGCATTCTAATATTTTATTAAATCATTTGCTTTATTGCCTTACTTACGAATACGCTTGTTGAGGAAATGTTAGAAAATTAACAATAAATTTTAAATTTACTATAATTACGGCTCTTATTTTCAAATATCGTGTATGGACGTCCGTATTTACAAAATCCAGCACACACACACACACACACACACACACACACACACAAAACAAACATTCAAAATTATTTTTAAAATACTGGAAGTCGCTGAATTCTCCATTTATGATTAGTAAATACAGTTTTTATTTAATAACAATATCACTGAACCGCTACAAATTAATACAAAATTTTTAAAAACTTAGAAGTTTATAAATTATTATAGCCGAATTACCCGCGCCTTGCTGCGTGTCACACATTTTTCGTAAGGAAATGATTGATTTTAAATCATTGTTATAATTTGTGGAGAAAAATGATGCATTTCAATATTACTCAATGATCTTGCCGATGTGATCTCCATCTTCTGGATTTCTCCTTCTATATTTTGGATAGGAGTCATTCCCTTGTTCAAATTTCAATTTAATTTATATCAAAATTATCTTCAACAAATTTTATTTTAATATATATTGGTGTGTTTGTTGTTGTTGTTGTTGTTGTATGTGTGTGTGTGTGTGCGAGAGAGAGAGAGAGAGAGAGAAAGAGAGAGAGAGAGAAAATTAATTTTCTCGAAGGAAACTTCCCATTACCTCAAGCACGAAGCAAGTGAGATTTTTACCTAATTATTACATTAATTCTTATATAGAAACAACATTTCGAAATAAATAAGTATTGGAAATTCGTAAAGAAAATTGAAAGGTATTTACTAATAGAACAATGTTTTACTTCTTTCCTTATTTTATAAATGAAGAAAATACATTTACATTGAATATAATAATGCACCTTCTATTGAATATAAATATATATTTTCTATTGTTTTTTTCAGGTGAAATGTTCCTACACTTCCTTAAATACTGGCGATGTCTTCATTCTCGATTGCGGAGAAACCATTTATGTCTGGAATGGACCCAAAAGCAGAGGGACAGAGAAAATGAAGGTTTGTCTCCATTGCATTTACTATTTCAGTTTCAGATTCTCTGACCTTCAGACTAAACATTTTTTTCATCAATTCGTAACGCCACTAAGACGCAAGGGGTTACTGGGTGTGAAAGTGAAGGGAAAGGTAACAAGAGATAAAAAAAACCTGTACGCCAAGTTCACATTCCACACCGGTTATTTTGAAGAGAAGTAGAGGCTTATCCAAACTTCCACTAAATTAGTCACTCAGTCATTATTTATTTTTATTTGATAAAAAAATAATAATTGCGCATGTAGAGTAACGGTTATCGACTCAGAAATGGTTTTGGTTCAGTTGACTGGACTCGCTAACATTGAATGGCAACAATAAAATCTCGTGAGGGAAGAAAAAACTGAAGAAGAAAATCTTGGAGAAGGGAACTTATCTTTCCAAAGAAGTTTTGGCAAGTCTCAGATAATTCAGAAAAAGAATTCTGAAGAAATATGGCATTTTAAAAATGCTTCTTTACTTATTACACTAAACTCCTAGTGTGGATATGGCGGTATGCGTGTAAATGTTCTTTATGTTTTTATTTCTCTTTTCTTTTTCTTATTTACTTGTCCTTTTTTTACAGTTATTTTCTTTTTTCTGTATTTTTATATTTTTTTCTTTTTATCGTCTGCGATATTCTCTTGCCACTTCACTATTCTTCCTCTCTTTATCATTTTTACTCTTTATTTTTCTTGATATCTTGTTTCCTATTTCCTCCTTTGTAACCTTTCTTTATTTCCTCTTCATTTTTATCACTTCTTCCTTTCTTTCATCTTTCCTTATTTTATTTCCTTGATTTTCTTTTACTCTTTTTATTAAGTTTCTAATTTTTCTCTAAAATCACCAGTCCATTTACATTTCATTACTTTTCTCCCTGTTGACAAGCTCTTTGACCTCCGTCTCAAAATTAACCTTTCCATCTCAATTTCTACAGCCCAGCCACTGACCCTTGGGTCATCACTATTAACCCTCAGCGGTCATTCACTCGATCAATTATCCACATCTCCGCATAAATATCGAGGCGGGTGACCTTCAAAGCGGACTTCAAATTCTGTCTTGTCTCTTTTCATTTCATCTCATCTTTCCTTTGACTGCTTTTACAAGCACATACACAAATACACCACCCACACACACATGCAGATGTACGCGGATGTCATACACACACACACACACGCGCGCGCGCGCGCGCGTGTGTGTGCGTGTGTGTGCGTACAGACAACTCTGTACATCTATATATATGTGTATTTGTGTACATGCTCCTCTCTCTCACTATATATATATGTGTGTGTGTGTGTGTGTGTGTGTGTGTGTGTGTGTGTGTGTGTGTGTGTGTGTGTGTGTGTGTGTGCGCGTACAGGCATCTCTGTACATCTATATGTATGTGTATTTTTTGTACATGCTCCTCTCTCACTATATATATATATATATATATATATGTGTGTGTGTGTGTGTGCGTACACATAATAATCAATACACGTACAATTATATAAATGCACACATACATACCGGCATAAAACGAGTAAATACCGATATACACACATGAGTGTTTATTCGGGTGCCTAACAAATTGCTGAGTCAGATCATTGCCCTGGAGGCTGCAGACATTGATGTTAGATTTGTTTTAAAATACACGTGCAAAACGTGGTCGTTAAACGAACAATTTCGATTTCCACATCTTATTGTTCATGAATTAACTTTTACACACGCATGAGCGTGAACGCACACACAAACACATTTGCGCGCGCGCACACACACATACGCACACACACACACACACACACACACACACATACACACATAAGATATTTATCAGAACATTCACTTTAAGGCCTTTCTAATGTGATGTCCCATGCATACATGAGACCAAAGTAAAAATGACTATAACGTTAATAATATAAAGAGAAAAGACATCACGCAGATTAATAAATAAATATACTGAAGTGGTCGGATGGATAACGTTTTAACATTGTCTAGGTATGGACAAAATGTTGCTTGTGTGTGTGTGTGTGTGTGTGTGTGTGTGTGTGCGCTCGCGCGTAAACGCGCCATAGCGCGCACATAGATAGATAGATAGATAGATAGATAGATAGATAGATAGATTTACATCTTCAGAATTGACTTTTCGGATATGTTCTTTGTAAAATAGAATGGAGAAACAAAAAAAAAAAAAAATAAAGTTGTATTTTTAAATCATGAACTAAAGTTCAAGTTTCTATTTGTAAAGGGAATGGAAGTTGCCAAACGTATTCGAGATGAAGAGAGATTCGGTAAGGCTGTCATTTCGATCATCGGTAAGTCTGATCTTTTGATTTCTCTCTTAAACCTTTGAACCTCCAAATAATCAATAGGCAAAATATTGATTTACTGTCTGTAAAAGAAGATATCCTCAATGTGGTGACATAATTATTTTGTTGAGATGTTTCCACTCTAAATCATATGGATTGTCTATCGATAAGGATAATATTATGCTACAAGAATTGCTCATTAATATTTATATAAACGATTTTTCTCTCCACCTTTTAATATTGAATTGTATTTTAATCATATTTCTTTGTTTCCTCCCAGTTTGTCTATCACGCTGTGATTCTCGTTAACATTTTACTAATCGCCAGCAATTCTTCTGATGAGGTGTTGGCCGAAAAAACGGTTACCCTTGTAAGAGAAAAATATGCGGTTTTATCTGTTTAATATATATATATATATATATATACGTTATCTAAGAGACTTGATTATAATCAACGAGCAAGTAAAGTAAAGGCGAGACAAGAAGAATAAAGCGAAAGATTTGGAGAAAGGTAGAGACACAATGAAATTATCATGTGGTTGGAAAATAAATATGCGAATCTCACTTATACTTACTAAACTCACTTTACAATGAAACGAACTCTCCAATATATATATACACACACACACACACACACACACACACATATATATATATATATATATATATATATATATATATATATATATATATATATATATACGTGTGTGTGTGTGTTTTTTCAAAAACTGCCATATTTCAGTGATAAATCGTTTGTAGATATAAGTAATATGAGTATAGAGATCTACACTGTATTGAGACTGTCAGTTTATCAGTAATCCTTTCCTGTGTCACTAATCCTTTCACAAATACTTTGTATATGCCACTTGTAGATCAAGGAATTAATAAATCGTACCTTCTCTGTTTTAGGGTTTGGAGCTAATGTTTTAGGTTTTTTATTGTCATAAACTTTAATTTATTTATTTTATTTATTTATTATTTTTTGAATATTTGATTCATTTATTTGTTTTCTAAATTTTAATATTTCAATATTTATATTAAGTTGTTTAAATCCTCGTGTGGTTGTAGGTACTGTAGTAGAAATTTGTGTTCGTTTATGCATTTAGAAACGAATTCTGATCTTTTGTTTATGATTTTGTTTCTAGAACGATCATTCTCGTCTAGGCAAAGATTACCTGTTGTTATTGTATGATTCTTTGTTGTAAAGCCTTCAGCTCTTTTTTTCTGATTTTCCCGGTTATTTTTCTTGCTTTTGGCTTGTGCTTTGGAGTTTTCAAATTTTTTTTAAAAAACATTTTATAAGTATTTATAAATTATAAATAGTATTTTATACTATTTGCATAATACTAACACATAATCTCTAGACAGTTTGACAGTCATCATACAGTACTGATTCCTATGTACACAGAATCTCTCTCTCTCTCTCGCTCTTTCTCTACACACACACACATATATATATATATATATATAAATTGTCATATAAATAAAGTATATATTTGAAGATATTGTCTTATATGCGTAAGATAGATATTGTCTTATATATATATATAATATATCTTTGAAGATACTGTCTTTTATATTTATGGTTACTTATAAAAGGTTGGCCCTTTCAAAAGAAAATTTAATTTTACAATTATGAGAGCCATATCCAAATTGATCAGTGTTAACCACATAAAATACGTTTATGTAAATGGGTTCAATTCAGAAGAAATTGCTGAGCCTGATTGGAGAGTTCGCGAAAACTTATTATTATTATTGTGTGTGTGTGTGTGTGTGTGTGTGTGTGTGTGTGTGTGTGTGTGCGTGTAGTTGTGTGTGTGTGTGTGTGTACGCGCGTGTTCCTAAGTGCATCACAGTATAGCGTGTTATAAAATTACATTTATTTTTATTGTACTTTTCAGACACACAATGGGACTCCGATGCAAACTTTTATCGGGAATTAGGTGATAAAGGTGAAATTGCTTCAGCCGACGAAGGAGGAAACGATGATGAGTTTGAAAAGAGCGAACAAAAAGTCTTAAAATTATACAGGTTAATATTAATTATTAGTTGCATTTATTTAACTAATGTGCTTACATTAATTTGTGGCACAAAGCTGAAGGGGAAGGTAGGAAAGTTTGGTCAACACTGTCTATCCTACACCTAGTTAATTCTACTCACGACTGTAACAATTTCCTCAATCACCGCAAGAATCCATCCTCCTCTATTCAATTCAACATGTACCATAATACCACATCTTCGCATAGATCCAAATAAAATATTAGAATTTCTTCATATGTATAAATATCTATAATATAAAACACAATGTGATCTTATCTCCCCTATGAGATATTCCATTGTTTATCATAACACATATTAACATAAATAAGCTTTCTTTTCGGAGTTACCATAACAACGAGGTTGCTACTTATTTTCGTGTTACATTTTATTTTAATTAGGTAAAAAGCAAAATACTTTGACATTTTAAAATACAACAGCGTTAATGATATAGAAGGCATGTCTATTCTGATCCATGCCGATTCATATATAAACATTCATTCAATTTTAACGAGTTTTGTGCTACTTTAACATAAGCAAGAAAATGCAAAGTTGTATGAAATTTATCATATTTTACATATAAAATGTCTTAAATATGTCCGTCACGGTATAGGAAAACAAGATGGATATGAGAAAATGAGATTGATATTCAGATCACATGTTATTCACAACTTATTTTGTATCAGAAAATTCTCAGCAATAACAAAAAATAAAGTCGGGTTCATTACTATACATATTTTTCAGAAATTACAAAAAAACAATTAAACGAAAATTATTGACTACTTTCATCTTAATCAGTAAACCTGGTTTCTACTCTGTGTAAAGTTTTGTTGCAGGAATGGAAGTTATTCACTTTTTGCGCCCTGTTGCTTTTTATCCCATAAATAATATTTGGCGAACTCATATGAGCTCGGTTAAAAATAAAAACAAGACAAGGAAAAAAAAAACCAGAATTAATAAATGTATTAGAGTGACATGTTACAGAAGGATGATATAAGTAATGAAGTAAGTTGGGAGAGTTCAAAACATGCTATCGGAACGAGAGAGAGAGAGAGAAACGTGTCTTGTCGGTTCCAGAACCAAAGGAAAAGGACAAAGAGGTTTTCAAATATCGCTTCGCCTGTAATTATCGTCGAAGTGGGGGATTTCAGTATCTTGCCGTCTTTGATTATCGTCAAGGGCTGATAATCCAACAAGGTGCAAAATTAGCAAATTTATTTATGTGTGTGTGTGTGTGTGTGTGTGTGTGTGTGTGTGTGTGTGTGTGTGTGTGTGTGTGTGTGCGCGCTCGCGCGTACGCGCATGCGTGTATGTATTTATGTCTCAGCTGCCTCATCTTTTGAATCTCAAATGTATCTTTTAACAAGAGTAGTATTATAAATAGTGTTTATACGAAGAGAGTGTTAAATACATGACTATGAAAGAAAATTACCAAGCCTTTAGAGTTGTTTTAGTCTTTTAAACTTCGTACAGCAAATTTGCCCTTCTATCTAGGCATACCAGAAAAAGTGCTGACAGAACAAACGTTGCCCAAAATGCCAACCCATCTAAAAGTTTGCAACTCTTTTAGATTTACAGATTTAAATGACTAAAGTTGGAGTTAAAATTTACACTAACCCCATTTCTAAAGTCATTCATAAAAGCAGTCCGAGAGAAACGCAGAAACTAAGCCTAATCAAGCGAAAATGTCTCTCACAAAAGGGCACATCACTGATGCGGAAGGTATGCAAACCAATTTGATCCAAAAGTCACAATATGGAGGGAAAATGGAACAGAATTGTACCCAGTGTTAAGGGTGAGTCTCTCTTGCTTTGGGAGTGTTTCTCGACGTTTGAATAAAAACATATTCTCATCATAAAGAGGACAATGAACAATAACTACATACCATCAAGTTCTTGAAATGAATCTTTTGAAATCAATCAAGAAACTTCTACCGAGATACAAATGCATTTTCCAACAGAGCAATTACCCAAATCATACAGGTAAATTATTAAAAATTCAAATACAAGAAAATCAAACTTTTAGATTGGTCAAATGAAATCACAGATTTGAACCTCATTGTAAATCTGTTTAAACTGGCGACGCATCAAAGATCAGAAAATCTATCATAAAAAAATTGCTTAAAATGCCTTCTTTTCGGATACAGAAAACACATATCTAGCTTTAGCAAATGATTGTAGACGCTTAATGAGAAACGTGGTATTCTACTGAATATTATATAAGAATTAGTGAATAACTGAAGTGGGGAGGTTAGTGTTTTGCAACACAATTTTTATGTAAACAAAATAAATCCAGTAAAAATTGTGTAAAGCATAATTCAACTTCTGATCACTAATGAAGTTAAAAATGAGAACACTAATTAACCGATTATGTAATATTACACTGGATTTAGAAAGTCTTAGATACAAAAGATATTACCTTTAAGACTTTACTCATTTGATGAAGATCTGTTAATAATGATGTTTTGCAAAATTTTGTCAGGATATTTCTCTACCAAGTGAAATAATATTATTCTGTTGAATTAGTTTTGTGTTGAAAAGTGTCAAATAAATATTACGACTTCAATAAGAGGTGAACTGAAATGAAAGTTTAATGTGGAAATTTCTTTATTATTACACGGAGCCTCATAAATAACCTTTGCTTTCAAAAAAAATAATAATTTTCTTTCATAATTTGTTTACAATTTTTGGCAAACAATCTTCTCAAAGTTCAGAGGTTAGAGTCATGGTTTACAAGATGAAAATTTTACTTTCTTTTTGTTTGTTTTATGCAAACTAGTCCGATAGATTAGACGTGAAGAAGTTCTAAATTCTGGTTGCTGACTGCTAAAGGCATCTGTTTAATTGCTGCTGGAAAGAAACCAAACATTATGAATATCCATTCACCCACATAACGGCACCAAATATTGGATCAAACCCAAGAAAATAAATAACACTGGAAATCAATTTCCGACTATCTATGAATTATTAAATGCGAAAATAAAAGACGATGACTATTCCCCACAGTACGCAAGAGAATGGGGTTTTGTCTGAGTTATTAAAAAAGGATTAAAAAATAAAGTGAGCTGTAAACACCATTTTAGATTATCAACAGATGAATGAAGTGATTTGAAAAGATGGAGATGCTGGTTTCATTTTCATTCATGAAAATATGACAAACTTTATCGTGAAATGTTGAATTTTTTATATTTCGTCATCAAAAATTTAGAAAACTTGACAGCACCTACTTTACAATTTAACCTCGTTTCAGTTTATCGTTTCTATTATTTAATTGTTTAATGTTTTTATATTAAACAAAATAAATGTGATTTATTTTCAGTTTGTTTTTGTGTTTACAGTGTTTGTGATGCCAAAGGAGAACTGGAAATCACCGAAGTTGGCACTCGGCCCTTGAAGCGGGAAATGCTAGATTCAGATGTAAAGACATTTTTAAAATTTTTGATCTCACTCTCAATCATTAGTTTTTATTTGACAAATTCAGTTTCTTGCTTTCTTTTAAATCACCATCATTTCCGGATTAAAGATTTGTATTATTATATTCATTATTATCCATGATCATTACCACTATCATCAACTACATAACAGTAGAAATTTTCAATTTTCTGATTGGTCGATATATTAGAAATAACTATTATGGTCGCGTAGGCGAATGGTTAGAACGTTATCTGTCAACCATTAATCCCGTATTCGAAACTCACCATGGTCGATTTGCTCGGCACCGTTTAGTAAATGTCTGAAAACCATAACCCAAGCCTTGCGAATGAAACCGTGTACACGAAACTGGTCAGAATCATTTGTTGGTTGTGCTAGCACGAAGTTTCCAAAAACTAAACAAAATATTAAGGAACAGGAAAATTTTGTTAGAAACAGAATAAAGAGTTTTGAACTTCTATTTAATATCAGTGCACAGTTTGTTGTACAGTTTCCTCGCAGATAAAGGGAAAACGTAAGTCAACAGAGATATGGTTCTACAGAAGGAACAAGAATTTAAAGAATATGAAAACAAAAAGAACAATTATACATAAAATTAGGAAAAGACAGATTAAATTTCTTGGAAACATAATGAGAAAAAAGGAAGAATTTGGTTACTCACAGGACAAATTGAAAGCAAGAAGGATAGAGGAAAACAGCGAGTAACTCACCTAATGAGCTTGTGTAAATGGATATAAGAACAGGGAGTGGAAGTATTGTAAAAAAAGACAAAAATTGTTAAGAGCTACAAAGAATAGGAGGTTGTAGAGATCAATTATTCTGAAGGGACACTGTACATAAAAGAAGTTCTTTTAAGAAATAGGCAGTTTTAAGTAAAAGTACCAACACCTTTTTCTTTAATCATTTCACGCCTAGGAAGACAATAAAGCCATGCAGATGCAAGGGGTTACTGAGTACGAAAGGATACGAGAAAAAGAAAGAAGATAACGATTGACATTGCATTTAATCTTCTGAAGATCAAAGTCGACAAGAAAGCAAGAAGCTGTGAAAGGTGTGAGAGAAGAAACTGTTAGCAGAGAATCTGCGGTTACATTGAATTATTTTAAATGTAAAATAATGAAACCTAGTTGCCAATCTAGTACCGCGCTTAAATTCGTAAAGTTTAGGTACCAATGAGGAAAGCTCATCAGAATAATTACCATGAAAATATTTGTGGAAAAGGTACGCTACGGAGGAGTGACGCCAGGTCGAGATGCCAGATCATTGACACCTCCTGATGAGTGGACTGACCAATTACGAACATGTCTACTAAACTGTATATATATATATATATATATATATATATATATATATATTTTGATATATTTATAAAGGAAGAGATAAAGTGTTTATAGATATAGAGAGTGTCGACATAAAAATCAATACTGTACTCTCAGTATCAATGCGAATATCTTTGTCAGAAGATTTCATTCAAATGTGAAACTAACAATCGCCATGAAGTTTTGATTCTTATGTCTTCATTATATATATATATATATATATATATATATATATATATATATATATATGGGAGAAAAAATTATGCAATACGTTTAGTCCTTTAATTTAAAGGACGAAATACGTTACATAAATAATACATGTGTGTGTGTGCGCGCGTGCGAGTGTGTGTGTGTGTGTGTGTGTGTGTGTGTGTGTGTGTGTGTGTGTGTGTCTGTAATTATGTGGCTAAGTGTTAATTTTTGTGTTTTTTGAAGTAGGCAATTGCTTATTGCTGACATTATTTCCTCAAGAAACAAAGAATAATATAAAGAAATATGAAGATTATTCTCTCAATTCCACTCCTAGCTTAGATGCATTAAGATGCATTAGAGGCAATTCTTAATGTACCCAAGGGTGGTGATTTAAAAAAAAGAGAATGTTGTGTTAAATTACGAGAAGGACGGTATAATGGAACAGGAGTGTTGACATCTGCCCAGCCCATCCTCGTCCCACTTGCTGTAGAATTGAAGGTTTTTCTTTCAATATTTATTCTTATTAGTCAACGGTGGTTTAAAGGGGAAATAACAAACTCTATCCAAATCATTCAGCTACATATCGGCACAATAAAGATTTTTGTCAGTGTTAATGACATTCATAGCAATCAATACTAAACCCATTACAGTATTGTTATCGAAAATAAAATAAAAAGTAGAGACCGTACTGTTGGGTTTGTGATGTTCATGACATACTTACAATTTGTCATCTTCATCATCATTATCTATTAAATTATTGTCGTGAAATTGTTTAACAGCTAATACAATATATTAACAAATTCTTAAAGGCGTTGCAAATATTACGTGAATGAGCCCAAATTAAAAAATTCTCTCTAATGAAATACATTTTGATGAGATTAAACTAAATTTTATAAACTAATTATTAAAATGTAACAATAATATTTTTAATGGTGGCAGCCAGTAAAACGGGAGTCAGAACCAAGATCGTTTTCTGTTAAAATTATTTGTACTTTTTCTTTACATAATTGTTTATAAACGCTTAGCAATCTTGAAATACGTTTTTGTCTTTTCTTTTCTTCTTTACAATTTTGTTTTACTCCATTCTGCTATAGGATTGTTTCATTTTGGACACGGGCCCAAGCGGAATTTATGTGTGGATTGGTAAAAATTGTACTGACAATGAACGCAAAACTGGATGGTCTAAAGCGATGGTAAGGCAGCTTCTTTTTAGACAATGCCTTCAAGTTAGATTAAAGAATCCAAATTCCTTTGTCTAACTTGAAGCTTAGTAGTTTCTTAAACCTAATTCAATTCCTTACATTTTTTTTTCTCTTGTCAGCTTTGTTTTTGAAAGTAAATTTATAAATAAACCAAATCTATTCTCGACTTTTACGATTAGTGAAAAAAAAAAAACTTTGATCAAATTCCTAAAAAGTTTTCGCGATACGATAATATAAGGCTCTAAAATGAAAAGAATAAACGAACGTAGAAGTTTTCAGTAATCTAGGAATTATATTAAATTTGATGAAATATCCACACACTTCCTTCATTCTAAGTTAACAAAGATCATGTGAATTGACAGAATTTACTGTAAACGTTTCCCAGTAAAGAAATCAGTCTAATTAAAAAAAAAAAAACTAAAAATTATTGATATTAAAAATTACAAAATTATTTAAACCTTAATATGTAAACTTGAAAGCAAAATCTGTATATTAATTGGTTTTAACTCAATGTTTCGGCCGATTAATTTACCAGTTGTCTTCGAGTAAATTTAGATCTAATAATCAGTTTTCTTGATTTTTTCCTTCAAAATAATTATTTTTTAAAACGTATTTATTCTTCTTTATCTACCAAAACGAAGAATTCTGCAATAGAATTCACAAATGAAAAGGTTATCATATTAAATTTCGATTTAGAAAGAAGGAAATTAGCTTTAGAAAAACATTAAGTTGTAAAAACACATTTGTTCACAAAATTAGACAGTCTTAAATACTAAAGTAAGGTGTAACTTAAACAATTTGCTTAACGAATTGACCCCATAAAGCAAAACCAAAATTTTCAGATTTTTTTCCACTCATTTATTTTTTATCAGACAATGCTTTTAATAACTACACAAATAAGACATCATATTTACTTATATTGCAGTTTTCATGTGAATAACATAATTGCAAGTGTTTTCTAAGCTGATTCTATTTCAGTATTTCTATCATCTCTTGCTCTGTCTCGATGTCTGTCGACGTCTCATCAAATGATAATAATACGCTTAATTCCTTGACAAATTTTGATTGCAAGCACATAATGCCGGTCACGTCCAACAAAGAGTCATAGTTTTGAATTATTTAAAATCAATACTGTGAAAATAGATATTTATTTTTGTGGGGGTAGGTGAGGTTAACAATACACTTTTTATTGAAATATTGTAATATTTTTACTTCAAGAAATTAGCGTAATTGGCTAATAGTAATCATTATTTCCGTTTCGTATTTTTAAGAATTAAGAGAACTTTTGAAAAATAATTCTAAAACAATTTATTGATCTGTGTTCATCTATTGATAACTTTTTAATGACTGATTTACTTGTTTTGCGTTACACTCAGAAACTGGTCCTGACTTCTTTCAGGAATTCATTAAAAAAAGTGGCTACCCCGAGTGGACACCTGTCACACGTCTGGCTGACCAAGGCGAGACACCATTGTTTAAGCAGTTTTTTCAAGGGTGGACAGATGCCCATGTTGGTCCTAAGGCACGCGCCTACAATATTGGAAGTATTGCTCGTAAGTAAGCCCATATTATCTAATAAGTAATAATCGAGCGCACCGATGCTTATGAGTCATGTAGTAAAAATCATTATTTCTGTCTTTATTCAGTTATTTTTAAACTATCGGAACTCGCAAAGAGCGATTATGATAAAAAGTGCTTTTTGACACCTAGTGTAAACATGTTGACGAAATTGTACTTTCCATTTAATTTATATATTTATTTTTAATATTTAGATAAAAATCTTGAAACTAGTTTCTTCAATAAAAAAAAAACAAGTTCAAAGACATTAGCCCTGACATACTCTTTATTAAAGAACAAGCCAACCACTATTTTTAAAAAAATGCATAAACAGATGCTGAACGAATTAGATTAATAGTTAAACTTGCCGACTCACAAAACAATGAATATTTTAATGGACTGTTTTTTTTTATATCAGGATATTATTTTTTTTGCTAAAAGATTTTAATTTTGTTTAAGAAATCTATACTAAGAACAGCATGAAAAAACAGCAGTAGAAACAACAACAGCACCAATAACAATAATAATATTTATTTTTTAACTCTATTATTTCTCGACATTATACATCATTAACATTTAATATTATCATAATAATCATAATAACAATAATAGTAATAATAATAAATAAATAAATAAAATCCCTCTAGACTAGAAATATTAGGCTGGCGTCCGTCGGAGAATAACCGCGTCTCATGGGCAGGACTAGCTCTTTAGTTTCGATCCACAAAGGTGGAATCATGAACAAAATTTCCACTTAGCGGTTAAGTATAAAACGCAAAAAAAATCTCAATGTTTAAAGATAAAATCTCATATCAGATAGGTCGTCTCGCGGGTCAACAAGAAGAACCAGTCTGGGAAATAAAAATCTGTTAATGGTGCAAACTCTTCCACCAATAATAAAACACCTGGTCACCAAAATTGGAGCAAATCCAACCTTGGCCCTGATGACTCAATGCCAAATCAATTAATCAAAAGAAAATGGACTAAATGGAATCGCGAAGAGAAAAAGCAAATCATGATCTCTTTTTAAACAGCACGTGAAAATCCTCAAAAGAACGTAACGGATCGAACATACAAAATTTGGAAAGATATGGAAAAAACTGAAATATGAAACTATCTTGACCAAAATATGCTTACCAATTTCCTCGGAGACACCATGCGAAATAAAAGACATTAATTTTCAGAAAATTGGTTGGTTCGTTTTGTTTCTATAGGTTTAGATGTGCCGCTATAGGTTATTTAATGTTGTAGCGAAATCTAAATATTTTGTACGCAGTTTTATTTCTTGGTGATAATAATGGTTTTAGTGATGCAAGTCTTAATAATTAATCTATAGCTGGAGGGAGAAGTGAATTCATATCTTTCCCAAGGGTATTTGCGCGTAAGTGAATATAACGATCCAACTGAAATTGGAACTCGGCTTTCCGATTATAAATTCCGAGCCATTATCCATTTCACCCCCCCCGCACATCCAAGTTTACAGTACCTTGTATTCTCAAGCAGTCATCCATCTAGGTACTGACCAAGCTGAAATCTCAGAAATAGATTGGGTAAAAATAAATATGACAAAGTACAAAAGGCCGTAACTCAAACAAAATTGAGACAAGAGTGACAAAGGGTGAGGTACAAGTTAAAATAAATAAGATAAGAATTAATTATATCTCAGAAGTTAAAACTGAAATATCTGGCTTTGGCATTAGCAATTTCACTAATTCAGATTTTGTCACTAATGAAGAATTCCTTAAAAACAACAGAGTTGAAATCAATGAAGCGAAAGACCACATCAATCAGCAAAGTAACAAAATGTCAGAAAGAGACCAGCTTCCAAAAGTCAACATGACGAAGTCCAGTAAACATACTATGCAAATTTATAACGCTGCATTGCAAAAATTGCTAACAGAAAGACTACTGGAAAACATTACAGAAGTAAATAATGTCTTATATGCAACTTCTGCTAGAAAACTTAATATCAAAACAAAGAAAAGATCAAACAGACAAAAGAACCTGCTCGGAAGACAAAACTAAAGTAAAAGACTCAGGATATCAGATGTGAATTATCGATACCGAACGTGATTACCAGAAATTCAAGTGTTCGACATGGTAAAGTAGTAAAGTCTTGCAGAAATATAAAATTAAAGATGTAAATCAAATTCTGCCAATCAAAGAAAATCACAGAATACATGTGTTATATAAGAATAAAGTGTCGTTGCCGACACTGGAGTTTGAACACAGATCACCAGTGAGCAAACACAGGCGATCCCATTCTGAATAAGTAGATCAAGTGATGGCAAAGGAAATGTATATATGGGAATTAGCGTGGCGTCTAATATATCACTATTTCTATACTATCCTCTATACGGATCGCTATTCTCTATACTATTCATTATACTATTTCTCTACACTGATCACTATACGGATTACTAGACGGATTACTATTCGGTGGTTACTTTTCGAGTGAGTATTATCGAGCAAGTAAGTGCGAGTGTTATTCGAAGGCGTGTCTGACACCAGTATTGTTCTAATGGCGTTACTATAGTTGTATCTGCGATTACAAAATCTCTACTACAACGAGCATTACGAAAGTGACAACGAGTATTCGTTGACATCACAAACGTGGCAACGAGTGTTCGTTGACAAATTAAAGTGGCGACGAGGATTCCTTCAGCTTACACGAGGATTCGTTCAATTTACACGAGGAAAAAATAATCTGCAAAATATTCAGCAGAAAACAGGAGAATGGAAGAATTAAAAGCCATCCTGGTTCAAATGTTGGCGCTACAAAAGCAACAACAATTGCAGCAACAAAAACAGCAACGTGAACAGTAATTGCAAATAAAACAACTGAAGTTTCTTGAGTTGTTTACCAAAACGATGCAAGGAAAAACTTCACATTCATTCGCCCCAGATGCTGTTCAATAAGCGAATTTGTGTACAATCCAGATGAAGGGATAACTTTTCCATCTTATTAAAGAAGATACAAAGCGATCTTCAAAAGGGCTTGCTCGCATTGGAATGATGAAAAGAATGTTCGGTTATTATTAAGGAAATTGTCCACTGCTGAACATGAAAAATATGTAAATTATATTTTGCCGAAAAAAGAACAAAAAAACAGGAGAGATAAATTTTGATAAGACTGCTCTAATACTATCAATAATTTTTGGCAATAGGAGTTCGTTATTTAATATAAAATGGTAATGTCTTAGTAAAGTTCGACGATGATGATTTTGTCACTTACGCAGGACTCGTGAATCGAGAATGTGAAAAGTTTAAGTTAAATGAATTAATTCCTAATTTATTTAAATGCCTGATATCCGTACAGAGTAAGGACGCATAGATAAGATCCAGGATTGCTAAATTAGAAATGGATCCCGAATTAACTCTTCAGAAAATAGCGGAAGAGTGTCAGCGTATTTGGAATTCGATACCGCAAGGCATTTTACAGGTACATAGTGTCCGACCATCTAAGAGAAAAAACTACAAATGTTTTTCAACTCCTAATAGAACAATACCTAATACTTGCCATGGTTGTGGAGGTAAGCATTTTAAAAGTGATGGCTTTTTCAAGAACAAAAAATGCTATAAATGATTAGGACACAAAAGTACGTGTTGCAGATAAAAAATGAGGAAAAAATAAAACGTATGTGAACATGATAAATATATGGAGTAACGATAAGAAGCCTAAAAAGGAAATTAACAAGATATCTCAAAAGAGGAAATTTGTTTTTGTGCAAATTAATGATATAAAAATAAAATTACAACTGGATACAGAATCTGATATCACTATCATAAATGAACAGACATGGAGAAAAATGGGTAAACCTAGTTTATTGACTTCTGATAAAGTTGCGCCTGAAGTTTCAGAAAAGTGATTGAATTTTGGGGGCGAATTCAGCTGTAACGTTTCGTTTGTGGGAAAAATCAAAATAGCTGTGGTGTTTGTATTAAAGAATACTGCTAATTTGTTTGAAACAGACTGAATTGCATTGTTTGATCTTTGGGGCCTTCATATTAACTATTTTTGCAACATAAATATTGTTACACCCAGTACTAATACGTCAACTGAAAATTTGAAAAATGAACTGAAAAAGAGTTTTCTATAAGTTTTCTCAGAAGGTCTAGGGACATGCATGAAAGCAAAAGCTAATTTTGAGTTAAAAGACAATGTAACACTGACATTTAAGCCAAAAAGGAGTGTACCTTTGCAGCCTTAGATCCAATTAATAATGAATTGAACAGACTAGAAAAATTAAGTGTGATATCAAAAATAGATTATTCCGAATGGGCATCACCAACAGTCTACGTTAAAAAAAAGGAATAATAAAATTTGCGTATGTGCTGATTTTTCAACGGGGTTAATTGAAAGTTTAAAACAACATAACTACCCGTTAACAAGTCCAGAGGAATTTTTTGCCAAATTAAATGGAGGTAATTTTTTTCTAAATTTGACCTGTCAGACGCTTACCTAAAAGTACTAGTGGACGAAGACTGCTCAAATTTATTAACAATTAACACTCACAGAGGTTTATACAAATTCAACCGACTCCCTTTCGGTATAAAGATAGAACCAGGCATATCCCAACAGTTAATGTATACTATGCTTGCCGGTTTGGATTGTGCTCAAGCCAGACGTACTTATTAAAAGTAACACCCGAAAGCAACATGCAGAAGATGTAAAGTATTTGAGAGAATATGGTTTTAAGATCAGTGAAGGAAAATGCGAATTTTTTTATGTCCAGACTTAAATATCTAGGACAAATTATTGATGAAAACGGTAGACGACCAGATCCTTCAAGGGCGAGCGTAATAAAATACATACCCACTCCAGAAAAGGTACAAGCATTTTTAGGTTTTGCTAATTACTATCATACATATATACTTAATATGCACGAATTAAGAGTACCCTTGAGTAACCTGCTGAAAAAAATGTGAAATGGAATTGATCAGATAATGTTTTCGAAGAGATCAAGAACGCCTTAATATCGGATTTGTCACTAGC